GAGCTGGGGCTGGGGGGAGGAATCACATCCCCCAGCAGGAAGAGTTGATGCCAGGAGACATGATGGTGTGAGGTTGCAGTAGGAAGATGCCCCCATCCATCACGAGGTGCTCGTTATTGGGTAACACCCCACACGCCGGGCTGATTTCACACCTTATCTGAACCCAGCAGCTGTGCCCTAAATCCTGAGTGCCGTGCCTGTCTGGAGGAATTCGGCTGCCTGTGTTTAAAATTAGTGTTAGCATCTATCATCTCCCCACACCAAATGGCTTCTGTGTCGACACTTGGCAGCGCTCATCCGTCACCGGGCACGGCGCTGCCCGGCTCAATGCCCTCTCCATCACTGTCACAGGACCCCTCATTGGCAAAATGTCACCCAAAGGACACGTGTGACAGCCTGGCTTCTCCCTCTGCTGGCACTGCTGGTGGTGACGGCCCCCACAGCCCCTGGCTCTGCACTGCCATGGCCTTACAGCTTCAGCATTGTGGGTGCAGCTTGCTCCCTGTGTGCCATCCCTGTATCATCCCCGGTTTCGGAACCACAGCTCCACTGCCTGCCCCAACTCCTGCCCCCTGCTGTGCCATGCAGTGTAGGGCACAGGGGGCGATGCCTGGCAGTGGGATGCACTGAGCTCCCGCGCCGTCAGCGAAGTGCCATAAATAACATCCCATTAACGCAGCGCCGCCGCTGTGCCTAGTGACTGATTTTGCTGGCTCCATTATGGGCTTCATAAACAGAGTCGTTTATTCCCAGCCTTTGCTCCAGTGCCTCCGGGGATGGGAGCTGCGCCTGCTGCTGCTCCGAGGTGCTGCGGCCCCGGTGCTGAGCTGTGTGATGGGTTGTGCCCAACATATGTGTTGGTGAGGCACAGCCACAGGGACCTCGCAGCACAGGGAAGGATAGGTGTCTATGCCCAGGAATGGATGGGTGCTGTGCCTGGAATCAGAGGCAGCCCTGCACAGACACTGCATCTCCTGATGCTGTGCGGCACAGCTTCTCCCCATGACATGGGCACGGCTGGCTGCTCCCCACAGCCCATACAGAGGAGATGGAATTGCAGGTGGTGATGCCATCCGTGCTGGGCATATGGAACAGCCTTCCCACGCTGCAGCTCGCCGTCTCCTGTCTGGTGCTGTGGTGGCACCGCAGCTGCGTGGCTGCTGCCCAGCGAGGAGCTCTGCCAGGCAGGTGATGGTGGAGCTGTCGGCGTGATGAAAAGCCTCCTGCAGCAATGCAGATAACATACAAGCACAGGTCAGCTGAGGCCCGTGTAGCCCATCCATCAGGCGCAGCAGCTACAGGCGCTTCCTGTGCCACCATCTGATGCATGCTATCCACCACAAATGTGTTTCTTCCCCCAAGGTTAAACGGATGAGTGAGGTTCAGGCAATGACAGCTCTGCTTGCCCTGTGCAGGCGATAAACGAGCTGAAAGAGCCAGAGGGAAAAAAAATGGTTTGTTTGCTGTCAAATGCTCCTTCTGATGGTGCTGGGCCAGGTGCTCCCTGCAGAATGCCAGCGGCATGGAGACGTGCGTGAGGATGGGACCTGTGCTGGGGATTGCCCCCAGCTCAGCCGCCAATGGGGGCAGCCTCTGCTGCACTGGCTGCTGCATGTGGGTGAGCGCAGTCGTGGCTGAGCTGCTCAGCTCCGTGCAGGAAGGCAATGTGGGATGATGGTGCAGGTGGAGACATCCCTGAGGTCTGGAGATGAGACCTTCAGAATGCTACGCTAAGGGCTCAGGGCTGCACCTCGCATCCTTTGAGCTGTTCCAGTTCTCTGCAATGCGATACAGAGGGCTGGCCCTGCCAGACTATGCGGGCACCATGAGACCCCCATGCCCCAGGCACTGCTGCCCCCAGCCTGGCTCAATGTCACACCCCTGGGCCTGTCAATGTGAGAAAGGTTTGCAGCCGATAAGCGATCGGGCTGTCAGCCGTGCCGTGCCTCTCGCTCGTGATTTACTGCGACGCCGCTAACGGAGCACAGATTTTTCTTAATCTAAATTGAAAACTACTCAAGTAGAAAAATAATTTCATTGCCTCATCTGGAAGGATCGGGGGAGGCAGACGCGTTGTTCCGGGGCCGGCTGCACCACGTTCCTGGCCCTTTGTGCCACGCAGGAGCCACAGCAGCAGCACGATGGTCCCTGCGGGGTCAGCGGTGCCCGATGTGGGGCAGAAGTCAGTCACTGCAGCAATGGGGTGGGAGGGATGTGGGGACATGGACGTGGATGGAGGATGGTTTGGAATGAGTGCATTCCGGGAGTGTTTGCTGAGCCGGATAATAACGCGCCCAGTGAGCTGCATCCCAAGCACACCGCCAAATTAAAGAATTTTTTTTCCCCTTTAATTTAAAAGTCACCGCTGGGAAATCTCCACCGGCCTCGCCAGCTACTTCCCCCAGGCTGACATTCTGGAGAAATCCTTAATTTTGATTGTCACACTTTGTGGAGTTTAACTCGGGGAAGCAGAGCCATAAATAAGGTGCCACTGCAGCAGCTCCAGCTGTGCGGGGCTGTGAGCAGTGCTGAGGGGGCTGTGGGGGGAGCACAGTGCTGCTTGGCCATGGTACTCCCAGCACTTCTCTCCTGCACACCCATGCTGCCCGGCCCTGCACACCCTGCGTGATTCCGTGGCTTTGCTCTGTTCCATCATATGCTATCCAGCTCCAGGGAGCCCCGTGGCAGAGCTGCCATTGCCCCACGCAGGGCTCTTCCTCTCCTTGGTATAGGATGGTTCCCAGCTCTGCGAGCCTTTAGGAAAGAGGAAAAATCCACTCACACCTCCCTACCAGTGCTGAGTCCCGCGCAGTGCTGAGCTGCAGAAAGGTTACAGCCCATCTGCATTTTACCCTTCAGTAATTTCAACACTTATGGGTGCAATTAAGAGGCAAGTCTGGAGTTATGAAGCCATCAGCGTGGAGAGACCTGAATACTAACAAACTCCTGCGTGCAGTTGCCATCCAGGGCCGCCTGATTTATCCGTGATAAAGTGGCAGTGATGCTGGCGGATGGCATCAGCCACAGCGTGGCTGCGTTAAGCGTGCATTTTTGAGCTGCTTGCTGGCACAGCCTTCCTCCAGCACTGGAGGGGTGGGATTGGTACAGGACTGGCTGCAGGGCTGTGGCATTTGGACACCACACACCTTGACCTGATTGTGGCTGCAGGGAAAAGCGTTGGGATGGGCTGACCCCGCAGCACTGACAGGCTGAGACCCCCTGTGCCCTCCCTGCAAAACCCCAGGCCCCTGTTCCTCCTGTGCATCATGGCGGGCTAGGGGCAGGGCAGGCTTTGCCTTAAAGCTTCATCCTCATTTAATTGGATACCTTTGAGCCCAGGCTCACGATTCCTGCAGCAATTTGGTGTGAGATTTCTTTCTTTCCCTCCATTATCCACTCTGATTAACTCAGCTGCACCTGTCAGCTTTTATTCCACGGTGTGGGGAGTGCTTGAGAGAGCCTGTTAAAATGCATGAGCTTTGGCACGCTCACTCTTCCCTGGCCAGTGATACCAAACCAGCACAGGGCAGGCTGGGCTCGGCCCAGAGGGTCACAGCCCTACACCCCCCACCCCACAGAGCCCCCACCTCACCCCAGAGCTGCTCAGCGCCAGCGGATTTTCTGCTTTGCAAATGCTAATTTAACATTCCAGTTATGACTTGTTCTTTTTTGTCTCATTTTAATAAAAACGAAAACATCCGGAAACGCCGCTGCACCCAAGAAAGAGCAAGATCTGACATAATTAAAAAGTGGCTTCAATCAGGCTGTTTTCCTAATGGTTTGTCATATCAACCCACGCCGCCCCGAACCCCCCCTGCACTCCCAACCCCCTGAGGCATCATTTACATTTCTTAATAACCCCTCATTAATATGCATGATGTGGGGAGGGCAATAACGGCTGAGCGCACACCACTAATTCAATTTCAGCAAGCCTCCGTGTGTTTAGTTAATCACCGGGGGACCAGGGTTACTCAGTACAATTATTTATTCGGAATTAGATCTGGAGGCATCTGGATTGAAAGCCAAACCAGGAATCAAACGAAGAAAGGGATTCTCTCTGCAGTGCCATGGGGCCACGGGGCTGCGATCCCTGGCTGAGGGGTGCAGCACAGCCCTCCTGAAGCTCTGGGTGCTGGAGCAGCTCCATGCCCTGTGCCAAGGGCTTCTGTTCCTGTCTGTCCTTTTGTTTATCAGAGTTGGTTGGGTGTTTTTTGTTGTTGTTGTTGTATTTTTTCGCTTCTGGTTTTGCTTTTTAATTCAATATTTTGTCCCTGTGCTCCCGCTGCCCTTACTGGATGAAAACACTGTGTTATTGAATCCTGCCCTGCAGCAGCTCAGTGAGAATTGGGTTTCCTGGGCTGCAATAAGGCTGAGTAGGAGCTGAGACGGGAGCACATGCAGGAGGAGCCGGCAGCAGCCAAAGGCTGTTCCAGTGGCAGCCGCATCGCATGGCCCTGCGCTGTGCTCACTGCCAGCCCCTGGGGCCTCTGCTGCTGCTCCTCAGAGCCCCCCAGAACCCCTCAGAGCTCTCAGCCATTTTCTCAGCGCTCGGTGAAGGGAAGCCAATGAGCCAACAATTATCTGCTATTTATCTCAACCCCAAAGCGCAGATTTGTGGCTGTAATTTCGCAGGCCGGCAGCTCCAGTACTTCTCGCTGTCGGCGGGGCGCTGGGCCCTTCTCACACGTGATGGATGTCTTTAATTCCTCCCCGCGCCCTCCCGCCGATCTAACGCCGCCACCGCAGCCGCCGTTGGGCTACGAATAACGATTTTTGCTCAAAGGCGCTCAGGAACAGCTGAAAAACATTCCGTGAGGTTTGCGCCGAGCTGAGCCGCCCCCCGCCCCTGTATCAGTCGCATCACCAGCCGGGCTCGGATCCCGCAGGTGTCGGGGCAGCACTTTGCGACGAGGCGGCGGTTTGCGACTCACTTTCCGGCAGCGCTCGCTACGCCTCGCTTTCCGGCAGAGTGGCGCCCTCGCGGCGCGCCTGCGCCGCTCGCTTTACGGCACGGTGTCGCGCTCTGTCGGTGGTTGGCGACAGTTTGGCGGCGGCGGGGCCCGGTCGGCGCTATGGACGTCGGGGAGCTGCTGAGCTACCAGGTGTGGCGTCTGGGCGGGATGGCACCGGGGAGGCCCCGACCCCGCTGACACTGAGCTGCGGCTGCCGCTCCGGCTGCCTCGGGGCTGGGACCGGGCGGGGTGGAGCTGCGTGGCGGTGCGGCTGCTCCCCGGCTGGCTGCGCTCTCTTTGAAGGCCTCGCGGTGTGCGCGGCGCTGCGCCTGCTTTGCTTGGCTGCTGCTGTAGCTTCAGAGCGTGGTATTTTGGGAGGAAAAAGGTTAAACTGCGTTTAGGTCTGAGAAACTTTCCTCTCTCTTTCCTTTCTCCGTGATATCGTAATGACTTTATCTGAGAACTCCACCAGATTTCCACTTGTGTCAGCTCCAGGACGATGTTTTCTTCCTCCCTTAAAGTTTGGGGTTTGCCGTGGCTGCCCTCTGTCTGCCCTCTGTCTGCACTCTGTCCCTCCTGCTGTGTGCACGCAGTGCTGGCCGTGCTGCCCTGCTCTTCTGAGCTCTGTTCACATTTGGTTTCTGCTTTTTTTTTCCCGTGCTTTTTAAGTACTAAGTTAGAATGATCATTTCTTGTGTTCCCGTAAAGGTAAACCTGCACTGAACTTCTGTTCATTATAAATTTTTAATCAAGTTCTAGTTTGGATTTTTCTTGGTTTTCTCTTGCTCTGAAAATATTGAAGTTCTCAGAGGTCCAATCTCCTGTGAAGCAAAGTGCATGCTTGTTTTTTGATCTCTTTGGTTTCCCTACAGCTCTGTGTTGGGCTCTTTTCCTGCCCTTGGGTCGCTGCTCATGGCAGCGTGGTGTGGGTGCTGTGGAAGCTGGAGGTGGAAATCTGCTTTGTGGATGCCAGGCATTGCAGCAGCAGCTTCTCTTGCTGCTGAGGTTATTCCTTAAATTTCAACTGACATGGCTCTTGAAGGCATTGTCCTGGCTTTGTGCTCTCCAGATCTCTTCCCAGGACATTAATGATTTTGTGTCAGGAGGTGAGGTAGGGCATTAGAGTAAGAGCTGAACTTCACGTGTCCCCAGATTCAGACAACTGGAATTAGGTGGAAAGGTGAACAGAGGTGAGAGGGGTGGGGAGCAGGAAGCAGTGCAATGGCTCTGTTTCTGGGGAGACACAGTCCCCTTCTGTGGGGTATCTGTGGCTGAACTGTTGGAATGGAAGCGGGGAGTGATGGGTTTTGCCTGCAGCTGCTGTCTCACAGGCAGCACAGCAGGGCCGCCCTGTGTATGTTCTCATAAAATTCAGAGCTACCAGAACTGTGTTGTGCCTGTGTCCGTGCTGCTGTGTGGTGGGATGGAGTTGGGTCAGTGACAGAGCTGATGCTACCAAGACAAGGCTGAAGGATGGCTCGTGAGGCAGCTGCCACCCTGCTCTGGTTCTGCCTGCATGGAGGTTAACCAGTGTGAGGTCTGATGCTCTCCTCGCATGGAGCAGTGTGCTGCTTTGGGATAGCTTCATCCATCCTCGCTGCAGGGCAGCAGTGGCTGTCAAGGGAGGGCTGGGTGATGATGGCTGCTGTCTGATTTTAATCTTCTGCTGCAAATGAGTTGGTCTTCTCAGCTTCCCTCAGCAAAAAAAGCCCAATTTTATATTGTTTCAAAATTTTCTCCTCTAAACACTTCATCCGTGCCCTTGCTTAATCGGGATGTTCTCCCTCAGTGCCAGATTTGGCATGGAAGATTTCAGGCTCTGTGCTGCCAGCTGGGCACTCAGTGTCTGTCAGAATGAGGAAAGGAACCTCCTGCAGCAAAAAAAAAAAAGGACAAATAAACAGACCTGGCACCTGGCAGCTTACACAAAGCTCAGAAATCCATAAACTTTATGTGTTGCTGCAAAACAGTTGCAGATGGTCTAAACTGATGATTAAATATTGCTGCTGTTCTGCCCGGAAAGACTGTGCCCAGATCCTCCGTGTCTGGTTTCTGATTACAGCGGGTAATTACAGGGACAAAGCCAGCTCTGGTTATTTTCAGGCATCTCTTTCAATTGGCGTGGGAGGGAATAAGGGAGATTATTTCAGTTCTCGTTAAATGCAGATTTCAGCACTGAGCGATGATTACGCACTGCTAATTTTTTAATGAAATATTTGTGAAATGGAAGAACAAAAGGGGAAGCGGTAGCGGGGTGCGATTTGTGCAGCAGGTTTGTCCTGCCGGTGGAACTGGTGGAACACTGCTTGTGGTGGGATGGATCTCAGCGTGTTGGAGGGATACGGTGATTTCAGCTGCTGGCCCAGGCAGTTTGCTGTGGATTTGTGACATAATGGATGTGTCTGATGGCTGAGGCAGCCGAGCTGCTGGCTGCTCTCACTGCGCCTCCCAGCCAGAGCATGATGGCCTCCTGCCTGTGACCCCGTGCTGGGAGTTTCTTTGGTGTGGTTCCTGCAGCTGCGTGCAGACCTTTTGCTCTCTTTTCCACCTGTGTCTTTGGCCACCAAACTGGGAAGTGTGGAAAAATCAGCCAAAGAAACCTGGGTGCCTCCCTGCCCTGCTGCTGGGGCTGTGTGGCACATCGGGCTCTGGCCTCACAGAGGTGGCTGCAGCTGAGAGCTGAGCTGGGACACAGCACTCCTGTGTTGAGCTTTCAAAGGTGTCCTGGTGGGCAGCTGCAGGGCTGGTAGTTTTAGCAGCTGCTTCTTCTGGATACAGCTTATACTTTGTACTGTAGGGGGCAAGTTTTCAGTTTTGAGGGTTGCTGATTAACATGTTTGCTCCTATAGAGACTGAGAGGAGGCAGCGAGGGAGCTGTGCAGTGGCCACGTACGTGCTCTTGGCACAGCTCTGGTGTTTATTCCTCTGATGCTTTCCGTTAGAGTCCCTCTGCAGCTTGTAGTGGCTGCCATCTCTCTCCTCATCCCTTTTTGCATTAGTTAAGAACAAATAAGCACCTGCAGGACCAGGGATGGTCTTTGTACCCTCCAAACAAACGTGCAGCTTTTGGTCACTGTATATATTTTTGTTTCATATTTTCATATGGTAGCTGTAATTTAGAACAAGGGCGTGAAACTTCATGTTTTGTCTTTGTGTCTTTTCCTTATCTGTGTGCTTCTCATAGCAGCACATTGCCTCGGGGACTTGTGTGCCTTCCAGTGTGGAAGGGTAGAGAGGGAAGGGATCCATTCTCTTAAATCAGTAAACTGCCCATGCAGGTGCAGCTCTGTTCTTCCTGTCTTTCAATTGGAGTTCTTGGGATTCCTGAGGCTACCACGCTGTCCTGGGTCCAGTTGCCTCAGTCTGTAATGGGTCACCGAGAGGTGCTGTGCTTCAGTGCCAAGTGAGATTGGCAGCAGCCTGGTTGGAAGCAAGATCCAGAAGATGGCTGTGGAGGTGTGAGGTGTGCTTTTGGAGCCCCAGCACAACAGCTGCGTTCTGCAGCGCTGCTCTGTGTGTGTTGCAGTTGGCTGGCGTGGCCACACAGCAGCTGTGTCACTTATGAAGATTTATTTCGGATTTCATGAACTAATACTTTCAGAGCTTCACGGTAACAAGGTTACTTACGAAGTAAATGCCTTGGTAATATGAAACTCCTTTGGCAAGGTTTCTGCAAAGCTCCCTGGTGCTGAAGGTGAGCTCTAGGGAAGGAGATGTTTTATCTCCATGCAGCCACTACCCCAAGGAGGGCAAGGCAGCCCCGAGCTGATCCTCACTCTGAGCTCTGGGGCATCTTCACGTGTGCAGCACACGAAGGAGTGCATGTTTGTGCTGCGTGGGCTGGGGAGCCCTGACTGAGTGCGGGTGGTGCAGCACAGACACAGGAGGAGAATTCTGTACCACTGGGCAGCTGTTGTTTCACTGCTTTTGATAAACATCAGCTTTCTTATTAAAAACCTTTTGTATTTGTGTGTGTGTGTGTGTGTGTGTGTGTGGTGATCTCGGTGTTGCATTTAAATGGAAATGTCTTCTGAATAAATTACTGTGAGCGCACTGCATTCAGTGGGAACAAAATTAAGCTTAACTAATAAAGCAATTTAAGAATTGTTTTCTTGTGCGCTTTCCAATGCATTCCAGCTTTGTGCCAAACGCACCTTGGCACAACTGAGTAAAAAAATAAGAATAAAATAAAATAAAAAAATCCACTATTTTATTTATTAAGCAATTAACCTTCCCTTTTCGTGCCAGAAAGCTGGAAGTTGGGTGCGTGCAGCTCGGCGGTGATTTAAAGAAACGTGTTTAAGCTCAGCGTGTGCTGCTTAGCAAAACGCTGCGGTCTGAGTGCTGCGCTGTGCGTGCTTAATTCCTGTTGGTTGCTAACAGTCCTTTAGGAAGTAGCAGTGCAAAACAAAGCTGAAAATCAATGGGCAGAAGTTTAATGCTTGCCTTAAATCAGCCGCTCGTGGCTGTGCATCTCTGGTGTATCGGGGCAGGAACGCAGGTGCTTCACTTCTGCCTTGATTTCTTAGTGTTAATAGCACCGGGTGGAGAAATTGCAGTATTCTCAGTAAGGTTTAGCATAACATCAATAACAAAAGGAAAAACCTTAATGCCTGCTTAATAACGCTTGCCTGGGAATTCAATTACTGTCTATTGCCAGTGTGTTGGCAGCATTAATAATTGCATGCTGGGCACTTCCATAATTTATCATAATGACTTCTGTTATGTGTTATAGAAGATCCCCCCCCCCCCTCCCCCCCCCAACAATGCATAAATACAAAAAAGGATAAAAATAATTGAGATTGAAACAGGATGTAAATGCTGCTGCTGTGGATTGTGTACTCAGAGGAAATGGGGTTGGTTTCGTGATGGAGTTTTAATTTAGGTTTTGTTCTGTTGATGTAGTCCCTGCCCGTGGTACATTACTTTGCATCTGACAAAGCACAGCTCCCTTGGTCTCTCATTACTGCTCCGGTCTCATTGGATTTTCCTTTTTTAATGTTTAGAAATGAGAACGAGGAATGATTTTCTGGAGCTTTAACTGAGGAATATGGAAGGTGAATGTTGCAGGGCTTCCTCCTGTGACTGCCAGCACTCCTCTTTGTGAGCCTTTGGATTCCTCTCTGGTTTGATCCCAGCTCTGGTTTGATTTAAAAGCTGGCCTTGCACTCGTGTGAGTTTGCTGTGACTGCGGTGGGTCAGACAGAGACCCCCAGCAGAGGGTTGGTATTTGTGCAGATGGCACCTTAGCAAATAGGTTGGACAAATGTTAGGCCTGATAAAATAAGAAACCATCTTCCAGGCAACTTGAGTGGCTGACAGAAAGTGTGAACGTGTTTGCATTCTGCTTTCAATGTTCTGAATGCACATGCTGCTGTTAAATAGTAATGAGTTAAATTCTGTTTTCCTGTAGCTACAGAGCATAAAGTACTTGGTTGTCCTTCAGAAAGAGTGAGCAAGACCAAATGTAATATCCTTATCGTTTTTGGAGAGTTTTTCCTTCTGTTGCAAATACTTTCATCCCCTCTAGTCTAAATTAAAACATGGGATTAGGGTTAATGGATGTTTTCTTGTCCTTGGCAAATTATGTTTAATTTTGCCAATTAAATGGAAATTGTAGAATAAAATGATAGGTTGTTCCAAGTAAACCACTGCTTATTCTGGTGCCAGAGCCCTGCAGAGTTGCAGCGAGCAGCAGTGCTCCCGTCCTGCCTTCCATAAACTGGGCTTTGATCTCCACACAGCACTCACAAACTTCAGACAAAGGGATGGGGAAAATCAAGGGCCGTTAAGCTGCACGCCAGCATTCTCCATGAGCTCATGGAGTCGGTGGGTAAGAAGGTCATACTTCCCTCCTGTGTGCTTAAGCATGTCACTCTGCTGTTCCTCAGAAGCTCTCTGCTGTCCCAGCTGATTCTGGAGCCTTCAGGCTGCCCAGCCGCAGAGCGGTGCGTGTTGGCACTTCTCATCTGTAAGTACCAGGCTGTTCCCTATGGAGATGTTTTCCCACGAATCACGTTCATAGATCAAACGAGGCAGGGTGTTGACACAGCTCTTGGCAGAGCCATCCATCTCGTCTTATGATGTTCCCCTTAACTAAATTCATTTCCTTTCTGGTTTTCAGAGTTTGGCATTGTGTAAGGAAGTGCTTTAAGCGACTTGTCCGAATTTCCTCAGCACGCCTGGTTGTGTTGGTGCTGCGGTTTGTGAGGGTCACAGGAGGGCTGTGCTCACGTTGTTTCTCTGACTGCAGCCCAACCGAGGGACGAAGCGGCCCCGTGATGAAGAGGAGGAAGAAATCAAAGCACGTCGGAAACAAGTGAGCGCGCGGGAGCATGGGCGTCACAGGGAAGAGGAGTCGGCTGTGCAGGAGGAGACCGATGACGAGAAGAAGAAACTTCTTCAGATAATCGAAAGGGATGGAGAAGAGGAGGATGAGGAGGTAAATTGTGGGTGTTGTGTGGGAAACGAGCGAAAACTGAACTGCTTCCCTGAGATGTCATTTCATACCGCGTGGATGATGAGGCTGGCTGGGCATGTGCCCACTGAGGTGGGGTTATTCCTTCAGCATAAGGATATCTTCTTAAAGGGGGGGAGTGGGAGGGGAGAGAGCAAAGATTTCATCTGTTTTAGGTGAGGAGGTGTGAATTACTTTTTAAATTGTATTTTTAGAAAACTATACAGAATCCAGAAAATATTTTCTAACTCTTATTCTCATCAGTACTCTCAAGCATGCAGCTGCTCCCCGTCTCCTTCTGTTTCTAACTGTGCAGCAGCTGCAAATAAACATTCTTCTATACAAGAAAGGTCTTGGGTCAGCGGAGGGGGGTAGCAGCTGTCAAGGGCAAATGACTTCAAGCCTTGGAGACAGAAATCCAATGCAGCGCTGGCCTTTCTGCCAAGGGCCAGGGAAGAGATCACTATAAGCGTGACACATGGATTGGTAGAATCGAAAAGATGTTCCCTGTCTGTGTCCTGTTTGATTTTATATTTTTAATTTGAAATAAATACACTGCTGCAGAATCTTGTAGGTCTGTCTAATATCGCCCTCCTTTGCGGATGGTGTTGCTAGCATTCATGTCTGAAAATCTCTCTTGTGTTTCTGGTGTTGAGCTATTGCCATAGCAGTTAGCTGCTGGTAGTTGGTAGCTGAGGAAGATAATGCTGGATTTCTGTAGCATCTGAGCTCCAGGATGAATGGCTGCAGGCAGAAGCCCTGCTGAGCAGCTCGAGTCGTGTGGATTCCTGCACTGTGTGAGTCTTTGTCAGGTGCAGCTCTCCCACCCAGCCATTGGAAGGGCTGGGAGTCCAGTGTTCCTTTAGAACTCCCATCTCTTTCTTATTATCTTGGAACACAGTTAATCCAAGCGCCATCAAAAGGCTCTTTGTGTCAGTAAATGTGATGGAGGCAAACTAATCTGTAGGGCACCGTAATATGGCACGCATGAAAAGCTGGTTCTAATGGAGACATTACAGTAATACGTATAAGAGGAAGCAGAGTCAAATGAAATAAAGGGAAGCAATGTCAGCACCTGTGATAGTGCTGTTGTGGATTGAAATTGTACCATTGGGGGAAGAACGTGGTTTGGGTGTCACAGTATTGTTAGCAGAATAGGGGGGTGGCATAACTCTGAAGTGCTGTGGCAGGTTGGACTTGAGGCAGTAGAAGATCCAGTAATAGTGGAAGACTTTAACTATCTTCCCATGGACTGCTGTTGTTACTGTAATGGAGTTTGAAATTGAAATTCTTTATCTGCTTTAAGATTGTTGCTTCAAGTCATTCCATGCGGAATCCTTAAAACCAGGAGCGAGTCTTGACTGAACCATGAGCAGGATATAAAGCGTGGTGGAAGGGGTGTGGAGGCCTGCTTTGTTTCGTTTTGAGAACTTTTCTGTAGTAGTGATGGTGATAAAAGAAGTGCCTTAAAATCAGGAAACAAGGAAATAACAGGATTGTATTTGTGGGTAACAGGTAGGGAGCTAAAGATGTACCACTGGTGTCACACTGCCAATTGAGAAATGCTTTAGAAGACTTTCTGAAATGAAAGGGAAGTAGTAGAGTAAAATATTGATTTTTTTTTTTTTTTTTTTTTTTTTTTTTTTTTAAAAAGACTTTAAAATAGAAGTGAAGGCTTATCCAAGTGAGAAAAATACAGAACATAAACTCAGGGCAGTTAAATGTAGATCTGTGGAAAGACATGGTGCAATGAACTTCTGGAAAGAAATTGCCCATGGGCTTAAGATGCTAATGTAAATTTACTATGTTCTGTCAGAAGCAGAAAGCTTCACTGGGGCTGATGGTGCCAGATAGGGCCGCTGCAGACGGCTGTTTTTCTCCCTGATGCTTCATCTCAGGCGGCACGGTCTCAGTGCTGTGTGCACCCCTTGAAGGTTACCTTGCTAAGCTCTGTCTTCTGCCCTTTCCAATTTGGTTAGGAGGAACCTCTGGATGAAAGCTCGGTGAAAAAGATGATTCTCACCTTTGAGAAGAGATCTTACAAAAACCAGGAGCTGCGGATCAAGTTTCCTGACAATCCGGAGAAGTAAGATTGCGTTTGGCCCCTCTGCACCACAGCTGAGCCTTGGCTTTTCTTCCAGCCCTAAACTGACTTCTTGACACTTAACTGTCTTCAGTTACACGAGACTTATGTAACAACAGTCATTGCCATTTAGTTCTCAGAAACTGCATTTGAAACTAACTTTGTTAATTAAAAATGATGTTATTGAGACTTCTGATGGAGACCCGTAGATGGTGGGGGAAAACTTTCAACTCTGACATGAAAAAAGTAATTTGCAACCAAGGGGAATGTTCTGATTCATGAAATTCTTGCTGTTTGTACTAAAGACTGTGAAATTAAAAATCTAGTTCATGTTGCTTTTATTTTGGGAGCACAGAAATGAAACGAGGTTTCATGATTTCCCTTTTAGATATCTGAAGAGGTCGCTTTGTTTTTAAACGTGTAGCTTTGTGCTGACTGAGGCTTATGGGGGATCTTATGAGAGGCTGCTGCTCTCTTTTTGGAGGAGGGCTGTGTCTGTGGAGCACAAACGATGTGCTTTTCTTGTCTTGCCTCAGGTTCATGGAATCCGAACTGGATTTAAATGACATCATTCAGGAGATGCATGTGATTGCGACGATGCCGGACCTGTACCACCTGCTGGTGGAGCTGAATGCAGTGCAGTCTCTCCTCGGGCTGCTTGGACACGACAACACAGATATCCTCCAGTGGTTAAAGCAACTCTCCTGCCAGAGGCTTTCTGCACTTCTCTGTAATCTCTTATAGCCTGCTTTCACAGGCTGCTGCTGTGTGTTTTTTCTTTTCCGCTGCACTGAATTTATGCCTTCTTTTTTCTTTTTCAAACGAGGCTTTCTTTGTTCAAGTAATATTGATTCTGATTTTTTTTTTCCCCAGTGTTTTTGTTCTCCTTTCTTGTTTTATGAACCTTTTGCCTAAGTTTGAGTGGCTGTGCTAGGGTATGAACAGACAAATGGTGTAGCTGAAGCAACGCAGCAAAACAACACAGCAAAAACTGAAGCATGGGCTTAACAGCATATAACCTTGAACTGTGTGCAGCCTTTGTCTGGAACAATCCCTAGTAAAAATGAGACTAATTTACCCGTTTTTATAGAGGGCTGAGCTCATGCTTTCAGCTCTTTGCCGTGGACTGTCTCACCACAGTGCTGCACCCTGATTTATACACGTGAAAAGTCTTTCATGTGCCCCTAGCTTTGGTGTGATGTTCTCAAAGCTGGAATTTGTGGGTAGGTCCTCTGATGGTGTAAATATCAATGGCAGTTCCACGAGCAGTTATTGCTTGTGTCACTGAACCTCACCCCTGTGTGTCCTCTGAGAATGTCTGAGAATTTTCACTCTATACTGCTGAAGTTTTAGTAGTCTGGTATTAAATACTGTTGTTTTCTGAATATCCTTGTGCCTTCGTGCTCAGCCTTCAGCTGATAAATAGAACTGTGCTTTGCCTACCATTGTGCAGCCTTTTAAATAGGGCTCAATCTGCATTGCTTGTAAAACGCTCTACGGTAGATTGAACTGAAATGTTGTGACATGATTGAAGAGGTCTTGTGTTGACAAACGTTAGTGAATGGAAGGAGCTGAGGCTGAGTGGGAAGGGCACTGGACTTTGGCTTGGGACCACAGGAGGTTTGTGTTTTTTCTTTTTGTTGTTCATGGCCTTGGGAAAGTCATTAATTCTTGACTTTTCTTTATCTGTAAAGAAGTGGACAGTACTCATCAGTCTTTCGGAGGTGTTTTGAAATACGCAATTTTAAAAGGACCGTTAAGAAGAAAATGTTGTGGTCTGAGGTAGAGATGTTGGTTCTTTTTCTAGCACTTTTCCTTGTAGTACTACATACTGAAAAGTCATAATTCATTCCTTCTGAGTGGGTGCAATGATCAGAATGTAAAAACAGAACATGAATGTTTTTTTTGCATATCCATTAGAGAACACCGTTTCCATTAGAAAGCACATCTGAGTTTTTAAATCTTTTTCTATGTTTGGCTGCTTTATCTTGTGTCTGGCTTAACCTTGACCTGGTAGAGTACTGGTCCCTGACAAACAGCACCCACCACTGCTTTCCTTATCTGCCATCTGTAATGAGAGTTACTTCCAATTAAATGGTTGTTAACAATTTACTGTGTGCAGTAGGAGACGCCTACCATGCGTAACCAGTTCCATGGTCACCATAGTTTAATTGCTTTTTCTTTTTTGCCAGAACCAGAGTCTTTTGGGGTACTGTGTGTATGGCATTAACGTGCTATCCTAAATTTCTTGTTCACATGGCAGTGATTGTGGCTGGGGATTGCTGGGCTGGCTCGTAGCTGGGATGCACAGAAGCACAGTTTTTTGTCCCCTCAGCCATGAAAAGCTGTCCTAAAGTCACAGCTGCAGGTGGGGACTTGTCAGTTTTGCCATTGAATTTTTTAAATGGGTTTGCAAGTTGCCTGTCAGTTAATGGAGAGGTAGGAATTTGCCCTGTGGTTAGCAATTTTAGGAGGAAAAGGGAATGATGAACTTCACGAGGTCCCTAATGGCCCGTTTCTCCAGCTTTTGTTGCTTAGATTCCTTGCAGCATAAATGCAAGGCAGATTATTTTCACTCAACCTGCTTATTGAGACGTGCTTTAGCTTGCTTTCAAAACTTATACTCTGCCACTTCTGAGCGTGTTTTTGTGTAAGTGCAGGTGACTGCCTGCCCAGTAAGTCACAGCCACCCTCTATTTGGTTCCTGATGGCAGCTGCAACTGGAAGCGGCATCTTCCTATCATGAAAATGTCCAGATAGCTCTGGCTTGTCTGAGGATTGCTGTAGAGTATGATGAGAGCAGTAATTGTACTGGCAAGCATCTTCAGCAGTGCCCAACACAGGCTAGCTTGGGAGTGGGACAGGCAGCTCTCTTACAGTCTTTCCTGGTAAGTCACGACTGTAACCTTGCTGTAAAAGATGTTTTAAAATACTCTTCCTGTCACTGCGTGTATGGCTGAGCAAATGCACAAACGGGAGAACTGGGAGTCTGGGTTGTTAGCCTATGAATTTTAAAGAGATTCATCACAAAGTTGTTATATAGGACATGTGGAAAACTGCATACCCTGTTCTGCCCTAGTGGGAATCGGGCAAGATTGATCGGAGTGTCTGAGAGAATAGGAAAGTGGCTCTAATGAGGTGGAATACGTCTCCTAGTACCAGAGAGCTGTGTAGCAGTCAGGGGAGCCATGTGTTATGCAGTCCAGTGTTAATGAGTGAAAATTGGGCTGGCAGAAGCTCTGCTGCTCCTGAGAGGTACATGGTTGGAGGAGCGTGCTGTCCTAATTGGACCAGCCAGAAGGGGGTTGGTGCTTCTGCTTCATGCTGTGGCCTTGTTAGGTGTCTGCTGATCGGGTTAGCTGGGTAGCACTGAGAGCACTGTACCCTAATCAGGTTATTGTAATGCCTTTCTTTTGGGTTGTGCTCAATGTCAGAGTGCAAGATGGTGCCTAGTTAAGCCAACTATAGAATTTTTGACTGAAAAACATAAAAAAATTTAGTGCTATCAAGTACAGCAAAATATCCTGGCACAGGATGTACACAGTTACGTTCATTTTCATCATTTCTAGTTGTTAGATTCCCCCGTTCTGGTGTTCTGGTGTTCCTGTGCCCCACCTACATAGTGAGTTAACTGTTCTGTGTCATGTCATGAGCTCACTGGCCTAAAAGCAATGTGTTGTTTGTTTGTTTGTTTTTAATATTGAATGTGTTTGCTGTGTTGATTGTCCTTAACATCTAGCACATGTTTCCATAGCTGTGGTAGACTTGCTCCAAGAGCTGACTGATATAGATACTCTCCATGAGAGTGAAGAAGGAGCTGAAGTCCTCATAGACGCTCTGGTAAGTAGTAAACTCCACATTATTTTAATGACTGAGCAGTGAATCCTTTGAGCTGCCATCTTGCCATGGCTGTGCATACACAGTGCCAGCACCGTGCTGAAGTTACCTGGCTCAGGTGTGTGTTCAGGCCTAGTTGTAGTTGAACTGGAACATGTCACTGTGTTGAGGTTATGCTTTTTTCTTAACACGAAGTAAAAAGCTGGGAAGTTTCCATGTAACAGAACTAATGCATTTTAAGGGTGGCAGAGGTTTTACGGTCCCTGTGCTGTAGGGATGGAGTGACCCCAGAAAATGATGTACGTGTAATAGAAGATGCATTGCTTGGTCTTAAGAGAGCTTACCAGGCAGAGAGCATCCGAGCACCTTGTATTGTGCTGATGGGCTTCCCTGCAGCTTGGTGTTCTGCTGGTTGCCTCCTGTCCCTCGGCAGGGGGAGGGGGATGCCAGGCTGAGAGAAGCAATGCCCAGCAAGGATTGAGATCTCCATGTCTGTTCTGCCTTCAGGCAGCTGTTGGTGAGTTGCTGCAATTGTTAAACCTTGTGACTCTGTCTTGTTCTGTAACTGTTAGGTTGAAATTGAAAGACAGGAAATCATTGTTTTCTTCTGATTGTTTTGTTTGGTGACTGTGTTTTCTCCTACAGCCCCTCTTGTCCAGTCACTGCTACCTCCAGAGGTTAATGACATTGGCCTGGAGCTGGGTCCCTCCAGCTGGCTCTGGGCTGTTCTTAATTATTCTGCCTTTGTGGAAAGGTTTCTGGGTGAATGAAATGGCAGAGAGAAGCTGGTATAGGAGGTGTTTTCTGTAAAATGTGTGGGGAGAGAGTAAATGAAGCAAAGTTCTTTCTCTGTTTGCCTTGTTGCCAGCCCACAGGTAATGGCCAAGTTTTAGTTGTTGTGTTGTTCTCCCTGAAAGAAGAAGGTCAGGCATCTCTTGGGAGAAATGTTTAGATATCTACTTTTTAGATTACTTTTCTTAGTTTTAGTTCTAATGTTTTAGGCTACTTTGTATTTTTTTTTTCCCATGGTTTCACTGAACACAAAACCAGTTCAGTGTTTTGCATTGCAAATGTTACTTTGTCTAACTTTTCCCGGCTCACATCCACAGTGGGAAGATAGCCAAAGTCAATCTGGCCTCTGTCCAATTGCAGCTGTAAGTGCAGACTGCTTGTGGTGAGGGGCTGCAACCCCAGCTGCAGGTGTGGGTTTCTGCTCCTGTTCTGCTGTCAGGGTTTCGTTAACTCTCTGAAGTCAGCTTGGTGCGTTCATCTGAGCAGGATTTAAATGTCAGGCTTCAGCTGGCGATCGTTCATCTTTCACATTTGAATCTCCACGTGTGAGCATTGTTCCTTCAGCTTTTTATGCCCAGGAAGGTGGAGATGTAACAAAGTGCAGGCAGACCAGCTGCACGCTGCCGAAGGTGGAGTTGCTCATGGAGCTGACAGCTAGAATGTGGTGGTTTGTGGTGCCTTAAGAATTCTGTGGGATTATGAATCAATTAGGGCTGATGCAGGAAATAAGACTGACAGGGTTCATGTTTTCCCTCCAGATGTTTTTCTGTTTAATCTGAAACCTAAAACCTGTTTAATTAATTAGGACAAACACGGTGTCAGACTTACTTGGCGAATCCTTTTGCTACCTTTGAGATTTTAGAGCAGGATTGTTAATGTCACCTGATCAGAATCACGTCTGGCAGGATGTTTCAGCAGGGCTTATTGATATTTATTTGTCTAGTAGGCCTTCCTTTGTCATCTTCCCTTTTTCACTTTGCTCTCCTGTTTTTTATCTTGCCTGTGACCATGGCAATGCAGGTGGAGGGTCAGGTTGTGGCCTTGTTGGTGCAGAATTTAGAGCGCCTGGATGAAAGCGTGAAGGAGGAAGCTGATGGTGTCCACAACACTCTTGGTAAGTGGCTGCTGCGCAGCCTCTCGCTTCTTTGTGTTTTGTACAAAGGGGGTGGGTTATCCCTCCCCTTTCTTTCCTTCTCACATGCTTTGCCCTTGAGCTGCCAGCACTGAGGTGGAGAACCTGTGGTGAATTTCTTCCAAGCACAATTGTAAATTGCAGTAAAGTGTAATCTTTTCAGCTAACGTTTGTTGCGTGTGTGCTGGTGGGATGCCTCTACCCAAAGCTGTTATGTTAGCGTGCTGATACACAGATGGATTTCTGTGCCTTGTGCTGACCTTGTATTTCCTCCGTACTTGTTTGTGAGCTCTGCTTACCCAGTTGAGAGCTTGCATCTTAGCAATGTATTTGACTTTCAGATAATAAAACTTTTTGTAATTCATACAAGTACATCCTTACCCCTCTGTTCACCAGCCTTTGCACAGCACAGTAACTGTTTTGCAGTGTGTTCCTGTTGTTAGCACGTCAGCATCCACACCTTCCAGTCATTCAGGACTGGAATCCCTCTGGTTCCTTGCTGTTGCTGGGAACTGAAAGAATGCATTAGGGACTGGAAGCAAGGGGTTTGCACTTGTGTTCCTGCATAGCAGCAGCAGTAAAATCTTGTTAAAATTGTTCTCTGCAATGAGAATTGCTCCTTCAGTAAAGGGAAGGTATCTCAAGCATCTTCCAGCAGGAGCTGGTGTTGTGTCATCTGAAGGTGGACTGTGTTGGCAGTGTAAAAACTGAAACAGTATTATTTACCTGGGCTGACGTCTCGCTCAAAAAAGATGATTTTGCAAATATACTATTTTGACAAGAGCAGGAAGAGCCTGCCAAAGCTGTGTTGATAAAGGTCTGAGCTGATATGCAGGCGGGGGGAAAAAATGGATGTTTTCTGTGCCTTTCTTCTTAGCAATCGTTGAGAACATGGCAGAGTTCCGACCAGAGATGTGCACAGAAGCTGCGCAGCAGGGCCTCATGCAGTGGCTGCTCAAGAGGCTGAAGGTGAGCTTATTTTCTTGTTGTCACTTGGGAGACACACAATGAAAACTGACAAGCCACTGGACCGGGAGCTGATGTGCTGGAGGAGGTGTTTGGCATAATATTAGAAGCCTGGGATGTTACTGGCTCTTTCAGTTTATACAGGGTATCTTTGTGACAAGTTCTAACATCTGTGAATATGGCGAATTCAGAACTCTCCTCCAGCTGTAAAGTAAGTTGCATTTGACTGTGCATTTACATGCTGATATTTTTAGCAGTGAGTTACACAGTTGAACTCTGTCTTTTGGGAAGAGGCACCTAAACATTCCATAGAAAGGTGTAGGAAAGGAATTGATAGTTTAACTCTCTTGCAGAGCTAGTGAAGAAAAGACAGCAAATAGATTCTGAGCCTTGTCCGAATTCTGCTAGCAAGGCAGTAGTACCTCCACATTTATATGTCTGTACAGCTAGTGTGCCCCCTCTGTATCACAGAAATGCAGCTTTGTGGTCATGCATAGACTCCTCTGTGCCCCTCATATACTTGTTGGCAGGAGTAACCCACAATTTCTCACTACAGGTAGTAACGTAATTATATTCCTTCTGCTTAAATACAAAAGGCAAAGTTAATTTTATTCCAGGCAGGTATGTACTGAGTGCAGGTCTGCTGCCTGCCTTATAATTACTCTTGCAGCTGAAAGACTTAGAAACTTGGGAAAGCAAAATAATCACAATTTGGATTCCCCTGCTTGTTGCACCAGAACATGAATGTTAAAGGCTTGCGAAACTCGGCGCTGAATGCGTGCGTTCCCTTCACCCTGGCATGTGTTAACTCCCTCTGGGCTCAGGGAAGTGTGATCAGGCAGCGCTTTTTCGTGCTTACAAGCTGTCGTTGTGGGGAGATGCATGCTAATAAAACCCTTGCCCAGAAGCCTTTGCTGTTGGCAGTGTTGGTCCTGAATCTCTCGCCCTGACAGATGTGTTGAGGATGAAAGCGGTATCTCAGCATCTGGGCAGAGCACCGTGCGGCTGAAGGCCATCTTAGGGCGACTCTTAAAATGAAGGCTCTGTCTGGAGGTTGATGAGGACACCTGGCACACGGCGCAGGGTGTGAATTTCTGTTTGCTGACAACATTTCGAGTTGCATAATTGTGTTCTGACGGTCGGAATTGCTTCAGAAAGCTCAGATGCAGGGCGCAATAGCTCGCTTCTCCAAACACGAGCAGGGCTTGGTGGTGCTTTGTGCAGCCTGGAAAGAACAGGACGTTATTTCCTAATGCTTGTTGTGTGACAGCGGTTGGTGTGTGCTGTAATGGGAGCTGGTGGCCACCGAGTGCCTGCTGCAATGCCCAGTGTGCCAGCAGCTGCTTGGAGGCACCGTGTGGTTGCTATAAACACCATCAGCCGTGGTGTGATTAGGGCTTGTTTCAATGGAAAGCTTTATTTAAAGTCAATACTTGTGACACTTGGGATCCTCCTGCTTCTCACGTTTCCTGTTGCAGGCATTTGGATCGTGCCCTTTCTTTTGGTTGCAGGCTGAGATAATTGCCCATGGTCGCCCCGTGCAGGCAGGGTTACTCAATCAAGCTGCAGGTAGTTGTGTGCTGGAGGGAAAAATTGTGGGTGACAAATGGTATGGGTAAGCCTTGCACTCAGTACTTGGTGCCTTTTTTTTCTGGAACAGTGAATCCAAAAGGCCGGTTACTGGCAATTTTTAGAAGGCATTTTTAGTTTTTGAATTTTATAGTAGCAGCAAACCAGTAGCAATCATGAGCTGATTGACTAAAGATCAGTCTCCTTCTGTAGATGAAGCATCTTGGGCAGCACACAAGAACACTGGCTCCTGTTCAGAGTCCCATTTCAGGGATTTTTACTTTTTTTTTTCTTCCAGGAGAAGCCATAATCGCTGTTTTTTCATTTGCTTTTTTTTCCTTTTAATGTATTTGCATATGGAGGGGACGTATGAAATGGATGTTATGTGACTGTGCAGCCTAAACCCAACTATGACATTTGGTTTTCATATCCAACTGGCAGCTCCTGTTTAACATTACTGTGACGTGTTCTCTTGGTGGCAGGTGCAGACATCAGAATAGGGATAAGCCATATGCACAACATGGAGATCTTATCACAGGAGGGAGCCTCTGTGGTGCCCACAACTGGAGAATGTTCCGAAGTTTTTTTGAGCCAACTCAGACAAAGCTAATGATGTAGGATGGTGTGAAGGATTGGAGGTGACTTTCCACACATGCACGCAGCCTACTGCTCCCGAATCAGAACGGCTCATTACTGTTTTGCTGTTGGTTCTTACTGCAAAATTACTGCTGTCATGTTTTGCTTTAGCATTGCTTATACACTCAGTGATTTGACTGGTGCATTCCCCAGTTCAATGGAACACTGAGCAGTCCCTGATGAGTCTTTTGTTCACTCTTCCCCCAACAGGCTAAGATGCCCTTTGATGCCAACAAGCTGTACTGCAGTGAGGTGCTGGCTATTTTGCTCCAGAATAATGACGGTGAGAGCTGCCTCTGGCATTGATGTGCTTTTAGGATGGGCCCTGGGCTGGTTTCAGATCACGGCAGCATCCTTTTGCCTTTGGCTTCCCTTTGCTTGTGCTATCACTCCCATGCGTGCTTTTGTGTGCGCATGCGCCCGCTATTTCTCTGCAGCTTTTGTACTCTGTCAAGCCGTATCGATTTTGTTTGCTGATGTATCAGTGTTAGATGGCAGTAAAATCTGACAGTTAGCTTCATTTTTCTCTGTTTTCTCCCTTCCCCCACTCCCGTCTAGACAACAGAGAATTGCTCGGGGAGCTGGATGGGATCGATGTGCTGCTTCAGCAGTTATCTGTGAGTAATCCTCCCTGCTGCCAGGAGACCCGCAGGCTGGGGCTGGGCAGGTGGCACAGAGCTGGAGTGCAGTGCTGTCCCAGCAGTCTGTGGGTACCAAAATGGGGGAGCACGTTATCTTAGTGGTGACACAATTCCTGAGTAACTGCCAAATAAATGTAGCATCTATGGTAAGTGAAGGCAATCTCTGTTTCAAAGGCATTAATGTGGAATTACATAGAAGTTAAATTGTTTTGTTGCAGCTGTGAGGAGAGTGGGAGGGATGGTTCAAGTTTGCTCATCTTGAGCACTCCAAGTGCATTGCTTCTGGCACTGAGCTAGCTAAAGGTAACGTGTTCTTAGTTTGCTTACATTTCTTAATCAGGCAGTAGCACTGTTAGTGGGGCAGGGTGCTGCAGAGCAGATCCTTCAGGTATGCATTAGCCTGGGAGTTCTCTTGTAACAAGCTTATCCACGTAGTTTTGTGAATTATGTTCTCAGTGAGTTTGTGTTTCTCTTCAGAGGCCGTGCATCATCTTTCAAGTCATGCATTAGGCTGCTGCTCATTTGTTGGTATACAGTCAGGACAGCAAAAAGGGCAGTGGAGCTACAAGAGAGTGCATCAGTCAGGTGTATGGTTGCTGTTTGGATGACTGCAGGCATATGCATGTCAGATGCTTAAAACTCTGCAACAGTGTGGGTCAAAGTGAGCCCTGCACTGTGATGAAACCGTTTTCTTTGTCGTGCAGGTGTTTAAACGACATAACCCCAGTACAGCAGAAGAACAGGAAATGATGGAGAACCTGTTTGACTCTCTTTGTTCCTGCCTGATGCTCAGTTCCAACCGGGATCGGTTCCTAAAAGGCGAGGGTCTCCAGCTGATGAATCTCATGCTTAGGTACTTTGTCACTTGGTGATTTATTTTTTTGCCTGCTTTTGACCCACCACCATGTGCTCTAGCAAGATACTTGTACTTTGCTGTTTATAAAATTTGTGTTTTAGTGTGCTTGACTTCCAGCACGTTACTTGTACCTTCTCAGAGATGCAAACTCTACTTTTTAAATTTTCATAAGAAGTGGATTTAATAGCTGCTGTAAGCTACAGGTCTGCGGCAGACACCCAGATGAGAGAATGTTATACATTAGGCCACTAATCCTGTCAGGATTCAAGACCTTTGTAAGGTAACAGAGAACCTTTGGATGTCTGTAGGAGGAATGTTTTTTCCTTTTGTTCCCTGGTTCAGGTTTCACTGTGTTGTTTGTCATCCAAGCTGAGAAGTTCTTGTGGACATTGATACAAAAATTGCTTTTGTGAAATAGGCATAAATATTCATTTCTCCTTGTGATGTGTTTTGTCACACCTTGAATCCCTAGAGTTCTCTGCTGTGTCAACTTTTGCTTCCTAGCCTGCATCTGTGTCTTCTGAGCCGAGACTTCTCAGGACTGGGCACAGCAGGGCTCTGTCTCGCTTTCCTCAGTGTGCTGAGCTGCATGCAGTGGCTGGTTAGCAAACACCAACGAGAAGTGATGTATTCCTGCAGCGCATGGCTGGGTAATGTGCAGCAGCAGGGAGCTGAATAAATAACCAAGTGTGGATTATTCAAATAGGAACACTGAGTTTTCCTGAGGCTAATTAAAGAAAAGCTCCAAAACTAAGGATGAGAGGGAAGCCTCCCTCTGCCTCAAGTACTAAGCTGCTGAGCTAGCCTTGCAGAACTAATTACTTGGAGTTCTCGTGCCATGTGGGTGGGACTCCACATTTGGAAAAACTCATCTAGACAGAGCAGTGCCTAGCAGGACATGCTAAGCTTCTTGCTCCTAATGGTGTTTTTGGACTGGAGTTGAAAGTGTTAATCTGGTACTTTTGTTGCTGATTCAGACAAAGAACTGATGCTGCGGGCGTTCGGTGTGCACTTGTGTTTTTTCCTACATGTTTAGTGTCTGCTGGTCATTAAGATGACAGTTGATTCTGTTAATTTCTGTCGCTGGCAGTCTGTGTGCTGCACAGTGCTCCCATTTCCTTGGACAGTGTGGCCGTGGAGCCTGCAGGCTACTTTGTACGTACAGAGAACACTTTGATGGCTGTTATCTGGAGAGCTGCCTGCGAGTATCACACTTCTGTACCTTTATATGTTCATGATAAACAACAAAGAATAGAGATGTCATTCAGCTGTGATTCACCACCTTACCCACAACAGGGCAGAATATTTTTCTCTCCCTCTGAAGGCTGGGGGGAAAGATCTGTTATTTTTGTATTTCCTCTAAAGACGGTTAATCATTGTTCCATAGTCTGTGCAGATGAAAGGACAAAGAGTTGAAAGTTTATTGACAACGATTCAAGATAGATAAGCTGTGTGAGAATAAAGATATCAGGCCAGAATCTCCATTACTGTCTTAGAGAACACAGGATTCTATATCAGCTGTGACCAAATACATCTTGCCACATTGTTCTGCTGATGGCCTCGTGCACAGAACTGTGGGCAAGCACAGCATCCTTCAGCCAAACATTTAACGTGCTCAGGAGATTCTCCCAGACAGTAATGAAAGCAGCACCACTGCCCATTATGCTGAGACTTCAAGTGTGTGGCCATCAGCATGGTGTGCTGCTGCTCTGTGGGCTCCTGGGCAGGCAGTGGTGGCACCTGAACGCAGCACTGTGTGGCTCTGCAATGCGAGGTGGCAGCTGCAGGGGGTGCTGAGAGGTCTGTGAGGATGGAGCTGTGGCAGGGGACAGGCAGCAGCTTGGGATTGGGGTGAGAGCTGTGATGTCTCCCGTTATTTGATTGCATCTCTGCTGCCATGGAGGCAGGGTGTTGGATGGAGCATCGTTGTACAAAGCAAGGGGGGAGCAAGAGGGTTTGGCGGGGGCTGGGCAGCACTGGAAAGTTTGCAGATGTCACGTAGAATTAATTTCAGTACTATCTGGGGGGTTAGGAAACACTTTTCTTTGCACACAGTCCTCCAGCCTTGCCTTAGTAACCTAGAAGCAGTTTGCCTTACAAAGCCAAAAGAGAGAAGAGCAGGCTTTTAGTGTCAGTTCTGTACATGCTGACATGAGGCTTTTATTGCTTCTGCTGTAAAATTGTGTTAGGGTTTGGAGGGGATGCAGCCTCTGGATTCCCTAGGGGGATGTGTCAAGAAGATTCTCTGTTGCCTAGGGAAAATGCATGGCTCTCTGTTACTATCTGAAGCTCACGGGAAAGTGCGTCGCTTGGGCAACGTGACCTCCTGCTCTGAAGCTCTGCTGTGACCCTCACAAAAACATTTGCTCTTGTGTAGCAAAAACGTGGTGAAAATGGACAGCTCTGTGCAGTTCCTCAAAGCTCAGCAATAATTATTTCAGGGTCTATTTTTCATGATTATTAAAATGCTTTAATGTTTTCTTGTCCTGCTGTTCCTAATGACCCTCTGGAAACTTGGACCATCTCTTTTTGAAGTCTTGTGGTTAATTAAACAGAGCCAATTTATACAGAGCTTTCCCATGAAATGTGGTAATTTTTGCCTGTATGTTGGTGAGAGATTGTGCTAATATGGGAAGTCCAAATAATGTTAGCACCTCTTCTTTTTAGAGTAATAAATTCCCTGAGACATGGAGGCATTAAAGGCGGAAACAATGGTTGTAAATAAAGCTGTAATTCAGGGTTCTCTATTAGACTGAAGTCACTCTCTGTTTGGTGATACTCGTGTGCTTGTCTCTGAATTAGTGTTCAGCTAAAAGTTACCTCAATAAACCGAGATGAGACTAAGATAAACGACTTGCCCTCCAGCAGAATAAATATTTCAAATAAAATCAACTCTAGACAGTCCAGTCAAGCAACTATTGATCTCTAAAAGCCTGAACTTAAACCCAATGAATATTCCAGAGATCAGCTCTGTGCAGCCTTCCTAAATGCTGATCAATATGCAATTACTTCCCCTGAAAACATTTCTTGTATTATCTAGCCTGAGAAGTACTTTATGCTCAGCTTTCTGTATAGGGAAGGTGGGGGTTTCTTCCTTCCAGCTGACCACCAGGCTGCGCTCATCAGGCACACTCCTTTATTAAAGTGAATTATTGCCAACTCTAAATCCTGGTCCTTGTGGAGGGACAGTATTTGTCTGGTGTACCCACCAGGGCTCCCCTGCCTGTTCTGTGCTAATGTTTGTAAGGTAGTAAAGCAATGACTTCCTCGGTAGTTGAGAGAGAATAAATATATGTATGCGTGTGTGTATATATATATATGTAAAATATAAAATGAAATAAAAAGAAAATAGGAAGTAGAAATAAAAATAATGAAAAGAGATGAGAAGATAATAGCTTGTCGTCAGCTGCAGTTGTGAAAAGAGCATCTGTCGGCGTAATGTGTTGGCTCCTTGAAGGAAATCTTGCTCAGAGCTTGTTCTCTGGCTCTCTGTGACTTCCCTTGTCACATTAATTTCCCTTTTCCTGCCGTCTCTTTGAAGTAGTGTAGTCCAAAGCTCTTCATGTCCCTGGGAAGTTTAAGTTGCACCTTTCTCTTTTTTTTTTCCCCCCACAGAGAAAAGAAGATTTCCCGCAGCAGTGCCCTGAAGGTGCTGGATCACGCCATGATTGGACCCGAGGGCACAGATAACTGCCACAAATTTGTTGACATTCTTGGCCTGAGGACCATCTTTCCACTCTTCATGAAATCACCCAAGAAGATCAAGAAGGTTGGAACCACTGAAAAAGAGCATGAAGGTAGGTCTGTTGCCAGCCCCATCGCTGCTGCTGCAGCTCCCAGCCTCGTGCAGCCTGCCTGTTCACTGCTGCTGTGCTGGCTGCTGATGACATGCTTGCCCTGCTTGTTTTGGTATCAGCAGTTCCTGGCAATTCCATTTCATGTGCTGTTAATAAGTTATTTTACTCCTGTAGGGTCTGTTGTTTGAAGCTCTTAACTCTTTGATGCAAAACTCTTTTGAAAAGAGTAATGAGGCAACTACAAATGTCACCTCAAAAGCAGTGTTTTCGTGGCTCTGGGCACTGAAGTGTGACTCGATGAACATCAAGCATTGCAGAAATAAACTGCACGCTTTTGAAGTAGCTTTTTTTTTCTATTCTTCCCTCTCTCTCCTGAAAAATTCTGTCTAAACAAAAATGTGCTCTGGAATATTACTGCGAGACCCTGTGAATCTGGGGTCACAGCCAGCCTGCTTCTGGTAACATCACCATTTCCATTTTGTTAATCCTTGACTACTCTTTGGAAGAAGCTGTAAATACTTCCAGTGATGCCTGAGATGTTGTGCCTGTTCATTACTCCTCCTGGTTCTGTAAAAGATGAATATTGTCAAGAGCTCATGAGGTGTGAGTGGGTCTCAGGCTTGCCCAGTATCCATCCCTAACTGCTGCAGCAAGCTGTGGGAGAGCAGCTGGAAAACAGCAACAAAAAGGGAGCTCTTAACCTTGGCACCAGGTCAGTGCAGTTGGAATCAGACACCCAGCATCCCCAGGAGGAGAGGTGGGGAGGGGATGCCTCCTGCTGCCCTGCACGTGGAGCTTGTTGCCTGGGGCAGCAGCAGAGCTGGGGCAGGTTGGGCAGACTGCAGCGGGTTGTTCCTTCCTGGCAGGCAGGGTGCTGAGGAGAAGTGACAGATTCAGCAAGTGGCTGTTTTCTTCTTGAAAAATGTGCCAGTGGTGAGCTGGTAACAGTGCATTTGTTTTGGAGCACCATCAGAAAGTTGCTAACATTACATTAATGAGGGTAATGGCTTGGCAAGGCAGCTCCTGGAAGGTGATGCTGAGGGGATGGTTCTGTGGTTGTGCTGAAGTGATGGAGGCTGGGGGTGCTTTGAGATCTTCATCTGTTGTATGAAAATGCAATTATTTGGTTCTTCTTACCCACAGAAGGCTCGAGCTAGAATATGGGCTGCTGAGTAGTGAGATCTGGGTCTGCAGCCTGCGCCACTGACTTAACTTTTCATTCTGCTTCATCTGCAGCTGACATCCATGTGCAGCATTGGCTGCTGCGAGCATCAGGTAGCAGCTTGGGGAGCCATAAAGAGATCGGAATAGTTCCCTGAAGGGACCTACTTCTGTAATAGAAAAAAGCAAATCTGCCTTTGGGAAAATGGGGTTATCTGTGCAAATGGCCTTCACTGATATTCAGAAGAATGTTTGTTCACTAATATTCAGAAGAAATGCTGGGCGTTAATATATTGAATTTCAGAATGAGTTTTATTAAAATAAACTCAAATGCTGTGGTGCCAAATCTGGTCTTTTTTGTAAGAATAAGACTGATCTTCTGCTGGGATAGCATTCCTGTATGTGTCAGTGTGTCTGATGAAGAAGCATCCCCTTAGAGGATTAACGGGGGTCGCTTTGTAGTGGAAGCATTGGTGAAGCAGCTCTGAGGGATCAGCACTGTGTGCAGCACTGCAGGGCTCTGCTGGGACGTGGGCACCCCGGGGGCAGGGACTCCCCTGGTGCCTGGATGCATTCCCCAGCAGTGCTGTGTGCGTAGGCTCTGGGTAATTCTTCAGGTGTTTGGGGGTGAGATTGGAAGTAATACTTCTGTATTGCAGATTTTTGGAATGCAGGTGATGTGGTATTGAATGCTGTGTTTCAAAACCGCTCACAGAGCTGGTCAGCATATCTCAGCTGTCCATAAAGGCAGAAGGATTTGGGGCTCTGGACTTCCCAAGCCAACTGTCAGATCCAAGTGCTGGATTCCAACTTGAAATTCTTGAGCAGACTCAGTGAGCTAAAAATAGAGAGCAGCAATTCCTTCTGAATTAGAGAGGCTGTGGCGAAGCAATCAGAGCTTGTTTGATGGGCTGCATGTTCTGCTCTTTCTCTATACGGTTATTGCGGTCTAGTTTTGCTCACTTGGAGAGTCTAATGAACTATAAAAGGATGTTTGTTCAATTCATCTTAATTTAAATGCCTTCTCTTGACTTAGATGTCAGTTTTACTTAGGAATACTTAATTTGATAACCTGAGAAATTAGTTCAGCCAATTTCCAAATGAGAATTCCTATTGCTGTGGGTTTTTTGCCTATTCACCCTCCAGCAGGAAGGAAGCCTCCCTTGGAGCCTGTCAGCTGCACACAACCTTTAAAAACAACGGCAGCAGAACCTGTTCCTTAGTTAGTATGCTCTTACTCTTCTGCGACGCACGTTGAAAGTTGGCAAAGCCCTTGGGAATGAATACCTGCACAGATAAGTTCCCTGAGCATGGAGAACTGAAAGGGCAGCAACAGAACAGCAACCTGATAGCAAATGTCTTTGGTGAAAGAAAGGCCTTCAGTCAGAAGGCAGGAGGCATCTTTGTTTGGTGGCCTACTGAAATGAACACCCAGGGTATGCATCAGTCTGCTTAACCAGACCTTTATCGTGCCAATTTGTTACTTTTGCCATCAGCTTTTCCAAACAGGACAGGAATTTGTTGTTTGAATGAGCCGTGATGCAGAGTGCAGTGTTGTATGTGCATCAGTTAAAGTTAGCATTCTTTGTTGCAAGAAATCACAAAAATGAGCTTTTCTCAGTCATTGGAATTTTGTCCTATGCAAAGCTTTGTGTTCTGATTGCTGCTTGCTGGGCTCTGCGTTTGGGGTTGGACCTTTCCAGGCCCCATTTGCAGATTGGTAACATTGTTATTTCATGCCACTGTCAGTGTTTCCAAATAAGATTTTTCTTTGCAAAACGTTTTGAGATACCTAGAAGGCTTCTCCTTACAAATGTGAGTTATTCGGGCATGTGAAAGCAGGTAAGCCTGCAGGATGCTCCAGCACTTGAGCAGCATGTCCTGGTTCTGCAGTAATGCTGTAAAGGGACTGGAGCACCAGCAGAGCATGGGAGTGGAATCTCCTGTGGTTCCATGGCAGTGCTGTGCAGCCTCTGTCTGTATGGTGTGTGCATCTGGCACCTGTGCAGGAGCTCAGGGTCACCCCCATGGCCCCATACTGGGTGCACTAAGCCACCTGTGCCAGAGGTGCCAGAGCTCTGGAACTGTCAGTAGCAAATATCCCCTGAGGTCTTGCTTAGGTTGTATGTAGGTGGTACTTTCTGTGTCATGCTCTTGGGCTGCACGCCAGCCTGGGTGCTTGCACTGATACAGAATCTGTGCTCCATGTAAGCCACTTTTTCCAGGGTGGCTGAGGAAAAGCAGAGTCAGTGCAGCAGGGCTGGGGAAGCCTTCTTGGCTTGCTTGTGGATGGGAGCTGCCCACACACCCCACAAACACAGTTTGCTGCTTGCACTGCTGTGCTGCTCCCGCTCACTGTGCTGGAAAGGAAACCCAGCTCATCGAGGCTATGTGTGGGAGTGGTAATAGTAAATTTGATGGCATGTTACAGAGAAAATACATCCTTACTTCTGATCTCAGCATGCAGTTTTCATTTTGTTTCTCCAGAACATGTCTGCTCCATCCTGGCCTCCCTCCTGCGAAACCTGAGAGGGCAGCAGAGGACGCGGCTGCTGAATAAGTTTACAGAGAACGACAGTGAGAAGGTGAGCGAGTGAGTGTGCTGCTGTGTGCCTGCTGCCCTGCCTGCAGCCAACGGGCAGCAGTGCTGGGAGGGTGCCTGGTAAGGCCGGGTGCCTGCAGGCACGTGCTGAGTTACTAAAAAGCAGCCCCTGCTCCTGCACATGGAGACCTGTACGCTCATATGGCGTTGTTCTCTTGTTTCTGTTGCTGCCTGCAAACTGGAGAACAGGCAGTGCCTCTAGTGCTTGGCCTCCTGCATCATAAGCACTCTTGTTTCCTGATGTGTGTGGAAGCAGGGGCTCCCGGTGCTGTGCTGTGTCTCTCTGCTGAGGGCTGACCCTGTAACATGTTGTGCTGCCTCTGACAGGACCAGGCAGGGAAAGGTGCCTGTTTTATCTAGTGAAGCTCTTTTGTAGCAGTTCCAATAGTACACACTTAGCATTCTCCGTTCGTCTTCTAAAATGCCTTGCTTTGGTGGTGTTTAGTCTGGGAAATTCTATCCAAAGTATTTAGGTGATAGTGGATGGATCAAATAGCTGTGAAACAGTAACAGCAGCTTTTGCAAACCAGTAGTTCTCAGGGGATTTGTAAATTCCGCCGCTGGGGAAAAGCTGGTTCTTCTGTATTTCTCATCAGTGTGTTTTAAAGGTGTTTTTTCATAACTCATTCTACCAATTGCAGAACATTTCCTGTCATTAGGAAGGGTTTCAGTTGCCTGATACAGGGAGCAGGAAAGCCAAGGTATCTCATGCGTTTAACAGAAGTTTGACAATTGCATCCATTTTAGACAGAAGAGTTCATTTAAAAAAGCAGGAGAGCTGGAGAACCAGAACAGAGAGAGAGAAAGAGGGAGAGTCAGGAACACATCTGTCTGCTTCCTTTTAGCTGGAGCTGATGAGGCTGTATTGTGATATGGGATTACATTCAGATGCTCACAGGCTCAGCATGCTCATCTGTCCAGCTCTTGCAGCAACCTTCCAGTGCATTCCTTCCTGTGATTGACAGAATTACCTGTTATTTTGCAAAGATTGCAGCTGGGAGGAAAACAGCATAGCATTAAGGATAAGATGATTGCATTGTTCTTTTTCTCTTGCTTAGGTCTATCTCTTCTGCCCTTGCAGGTTGATAGGCTGATGGAACTGTATTTTAAGTACCTGGATGCAATGCAGGCAGCTGATAAGAAGATTGATGGAGAGAAACATGTATGTATTGCATAAGTTGTATTACCACATGTCTTTGCTGCTTCTGCATGGGCACTGCACTGCACAGAGCTGCTGATCTGCCAGCTGCCCTCCCTGATTCATCCCCATGCTGTTACCCTTCAGCTTTTATTGCCTCCAGCTTCTGGTTCCCTCAGATGAGATGGGCTGGGAATTCACTCTCAGCAGTGTTTCTGCCATTTCTTAGGGTGAATTTTACTAGGAGGGCTTAAGTCTGTGCTTTGCTGTGCCTTCACTTCTACTTGGCTGAGATGTTGCTTGTTTTGGCAGATGGAGAGTAAGTGAAATGCAGAGAGACAATTACATGGTAATGTGCGAGGATTCCTACCCTGGTCTACAGAGTTCTGATCGCCTGCAAGGAAACCTCTATTTTGATTAGCTAGACGAGGCCAGAGCCAAAGCCTGGTGCTCTCTGAGCACACCAGCAGCAAATCGTTTTGAATAACACGAGCTTGGGTATCGCACAGTACTTTCTTGGAACTGAGTCTGGAACAGACTTTGTGGAAGAGAACGAGCTGTCGGAGTCAGGAAGCAGCTTGCAGAGCTGTTAGCGAGCTTGGCGTGCTTCCCACAAGATTATCTGTATCAGCACAGAGGAGGGCATGAGATTGATTAGTGCTGACGGAGATAATCACCGCAGCGCCGTCCCCCTGTGGGCACTCGGCGTGCCCCGGCTGCAGCCCCCAGCAGCCTCACAGGCAGCCGTCCCCACGCTGCCAAGGCTGCTGCTCTGAGCACCAGCAGACATGCAGGGGGGCACCGGAGCTCAGCAGCAAAAGGCACGGGGCTGAGAGATGAATGGAGCTGCTGCTGCCAGTGCCTGGGCTCCATATGGACAGCTGCAGCCTCGCAAACGGACGGTGGCCTGGAGACAAATGGCCTTTCCCCTCTTCTGCTATCCCTCTGCTCTCCATTCATCCACCTCAAAACAGAAGAAATTATTTACTCTCTGTGTTTCGACGTTGGTGTGTGGGTTTTAGAACTCAAGAAGCAAAGCTATTTTTTTTTTCCTGGCTGAAATCTCACAGTGTTTGGGCAGCTGCTGTACAGAGCTCTTAAAGGCAGCACGCAGAGCCAGTGTGTGTGTACTCTGTATCCAAGGAAGTCCTGAAGTAGCTACAGATGTTAACACCTGTAGCAAACAGCCAGCACAGAGCAGGGGGTTTGGGTTGAAGGGAGTCGTTCGGGTGTGAAGCAGCTTGTATAGAAGCTATTTGATTAATAATAATGTTCCATTCATGTTTAGTGGGACACAGGAGAAGGGAAAACGTAAGTGTTCAGGTTTTCCTCTCATATCCAGAAGCCAGTGTGCTTTTGCCCTGCTGCAGGGCTCTGCGGGCTGGCCTGGCTGCCATAAATGGATCTCAGTTCTTCGCTCCTATTAGTGCTAGTAATAGGATTTGGCAGAAACATCCCACATGTGCTTTGACCTTCTGCAATATATTTCAACAGAAAATATCAAAGTGTTGTGCTGAGATTTACTCATGCTGCATGTCACCCCTGAGAAGCAGATTTGTACTCCGCATGGGAAGGACGCTGGTTTTCAAAGCAGTGTTCAGAGCCTGGTGGTAAAGATTAGAAGGCTTGGAGGCTGGGCTGGACTAGACTGGAAGTTTGTCCAGTTCCAATCCCGATCACCTCTAAGCACCACAGGTGATAGCGTGTCACCAAGCTACTATTTTCACTTGTGTCCCCACTCCACAGCTGGGAGATAAAATGTTTTCCTATTTCTCAGAGTAGTTGTGAGATTAAATGCCCTAAAATATGTGCACCGTGTTGTTTGTGTTCTGGTGACAGGTCCATAAACTTGAATTACATCCAGTACTATCATCACATGTCCCACAGCTCCACTTTTCCCCAAACTAAGTAATTCTCAGCAGAACTAACATCTTTGTCTGTTCCAGCATGGAACAGAGTCTTTCAAAGTTTGTTATTATTGTTAGAGCTGCTTTGTGAGGTCTTTTAAGCAGGGAGTGCATCAGCACAAATGTTCTCTGGGCTCTCCGACGCACAGGTCCCCAGTGACAGAGAAATGCCAAAGCAGCATTAGATTTTTATTATTATTATTATTATTCTGTTTTGTGTGCGCTGGCAGGGCAGTAAGCAGCAGGTGAATAAGCTGCTCTCTGAATAGTACAGAATAAGGTCTGTCTAAGTATTACCTGATAACTCTTATCCTTTGTAAGACAATAACATAAAGCACCAGGAACTTAGAATCACCCTGTTCTGGTAGCTGCTGGTGAACTCCTCCATCAGAAGGGGTCAGAAATGTATCTGCTCTGCTTTGTGTGCCTTCCAGTTCTGATTGGGGCCCAGGGTTTCAGAGTGCATTAGTGGTTATTTGCAGTCATTATGAAGTACGTTTCTGCTTTCCAGAAATAAATTGCCTTTTATTTTTTTCCCCAACATCCTGAGTGGGGTTAGAATATTGGGCACGGTGTTCATAAAATATGATGTTGAGCTTCACTTCTCACTTGGAACACTCCTGGGGTTATGGATTTCTTTGGTACTCAGCATTCTAAAATGGTCAGTGGGAAATGGTCTGCTGAGATTTGAAGAGGCTCTGGTGGATTCCTCAGGCAGAGGCGGGCAGAAGCTGTCATTCTGCCCATCAGCCCAGGGAGCTGCCTGCCTCTGATAGGATTTATGGGCTGCTTTAGTGTTTGTAGTTGTTGCTCATGAATCATTGAAGTGGATGTGTGAACACAGTCCTGCAGATGCTAGGCTTTGTCACTTGGGGGGCTTTTGACCTTCCTCTGGTGGTTGAGGACATTGTTAGTACTCCAGAAGCCAGGAATATGGATTCTATGCTGCCCCAAAGGAGAGAAGAAAAAAAAGAGAGACAATGAGATTTTACAGGTTCAGCCTATCCTGAGGAGAGAGAGAAAGAGAGATTTGAGTCTGATGGACAGAGTATCCTGGTGTAAGTCTTGCATTACAAGAAGTGGAAACCTGATTATACAAAGAATGATTGAAGGTATCATACCTGGAGTTTTATCTTCAGTAGTGCAGCCGGCATAAGAAGCTCCTGCCCTTGCAGTTCTCTTCCCTTTCCTTTCTTTTAGTGATCTGGTTTATAGCTCAGCCCTTCAGACTGGCAGTGAAGGCGTGGGAATTGCTGAGAGTAGGAGGGAGGGGAGGAATTTTTTAAGCCAGCTTTTTGCAAAGAGCAGTTGTTGTAAAACTGCATCATGAATCTGGACGACGAGACAGAACGTGGTCCAGCAGGGGAGCATCCCTTCTTTTCCTGTTACCCGGCTGTTTGCTTCCGTGGGATCTGTTCAGAAGTGATCAGAGAAGATAAGGCCACGATTAGCTTAATTGCTGTGAGAAGGATTGCTTTGCTGCGAGCAAAGTCTGCTCTCAGCCTTGCTGAGGAATGGTGGCTGATGCCTGAGGAAGGAGGAGGATGCAGAGAATGCTTTGGGCCCTGATGCGTTGGCTGCGTGGAGCAGATGTGATCCCTGGTGCAGCAGCAGCTGATCCATTGTATCTTCAGTTTTTGAGTCTTTACCTGACACCCTGAGGCCTGTCAGTCCTGCCTCATTAGTGCGAGAGAAGCTCATTTTAGCTTCACAGAAGCCCATCTCATTGCTGTCTTCTCCCATCAGCAAGGGGCATCTCAGCACATATTGCTGGCAGATTAGAAATGGCATCTGAGTGCTCATTTGGAGGTTAGCGACTTGACAGCTTTGAAAGAGAGACAAAGTGGAAAGGTGGCTATTTGGTACTGTACGGAGGCAGATTAGCATTTAGAGGCTGCTGGTGGTTTTTTTATTGTTTTTAATAATAAAAAGGATGTGGAAAAAAGCACCTAAAACTCTACCTGTGTTCTAATTCGTATCTGCTTAATTCACTGGCACAAAATTATTTTGCTTCTGTGTTGAGAGGGGCTCTTAAGGCTGCTGCCTTCCCTGCGTAATCAAATCGGCGCTTGTCTGGATTCTGCTCCTGTGATCACAGTGTTGGGATCAGAATGCAGAGCAGAAATGGCCTTTGTTTCCTGCTCTGGCGATTCAGAATCCTTGTTGCCTCTCGATGTTTTTCTGTTCAGGAGTTTAGTGCTGTTGAGAAGAACAGCCACTGAGCCTGTGTGCACTGAGAGCATAAGCAGTGGTTTTGGGAGTGAGCGCCTTGTCTTTTTCCTCAAACGAGGTTTTTGGATGTTTCATTGAATAGCTGCCTGCCTCTGGTTGCCAAACTCAACATTCTTCAGCTTTAGAGCCCAGATTTGGCCAGATTCGTTCAGTTTGGCATCCTAGGGTGAGGAAAGTTGCTGCTTGCACAAAATTGGATTTCTTCTTTTCTGGCAGGAGCTTGCCTGCAGGTTTTGCCCAGTCACGCCTGTGCCTGTGATTTTGAGAGTCTGGAGTGAATGGCAGTCGTGCAGATATCAGTGTTGAGGCATCCTGAGCCTGTGCAGTTGGCTTTACAGCATTGGTAACTAGGCATTGTTCCTTAAACTTGCCTCATCCTCTCATTGGCAAACTGGGTTCTTAGGAGGAATGGGAAAGCATTTCATCACCTGTGCTTTCTATGTTCAATTTTGGGAGGCAGCAATAAAAATGGCAGCTCAAAGTCACTTAATCAGATGTGTGTCTGATGAAGCCCAGTGTGCAGGGCTGATGTTCCTTCCCGTGCCTGGAAAACTCTCCCTGTGATCAGACAGAAGGGTTTGGTTTGACGAAACGAGAAGATCTGGTGGCTGAAATCAGCTTTGGTGCTGGTGACCTTGTGTGTGTTTGCCTGGAGCGTGTGTGCGTGAAGGAAGCTCTGTGAGCATTACAGGTACAGTGCTCTCACTGGTGATGGCTCTAATGAGGAAATATTGCTCTGCTGGTGCGTGCCCACCTGCCAGCCTGCTGCATAATAAATCACACGGGCTGCAGCGAGCTCGCAGGGTGTGACAAGCTGCTTCCTTTATCCAAAGACAAAAACAAAAACCAAACCCCCGAAATGCAAAAGGTCGTACGTGGCATCAGTGATTGCACTCTGTTGGTTGCTGAGAAAAGTCAGGGTGGGCTCACCCTGTGACGTGGAAGGCCTCTCTCTGCAGGGAGCTGCTCAGGGCTCGTTGCTGGGCTGCTTTGCTGCTGTTGTGAACCAGCAAGTGCTCTGTCTGAGGATGGAGCAGCCTCCTGCATTCCGCCTTCGGGCTCTTTGTGGCCTCTAGCAAAGCACCCTCTGTGCAGGCAAAGGAAGAACCATCCTGTGGAAGCAGAGCTCTTGTGCTGGCCCAGCCAGCGGTTCTGGAGGAGAATGGCTGCGAGTAGTGAAACTGTACCTGTGCAGAAGTTGAGACCTGATTTCTTATCCAGCAGTCAGTGATGAAGTTAGGAGGTCTGTAGGGCTTTGAGCTGCTGGAGTCGCGTTCTGCACTGCTGAACAGCACCCTCAGATGGCCAGTAAAGGAGCATGGGTTTTGTTCCACCTTGACAAAGAACTGGTCTGTTTCCTATTCACAGTCTCCGATCACTCGGTTTAGAAGTGTAATTTCTGTGTTGAAATTAAAACGTTAGCTTGTGGATGGACACACTTCACACCAGCAGAGACAAGACTGTGTTCAGAATTGAGTGAAATGTTTTGTGGATTTAAATACGTGATCAAAGGGAGTACTTCTGTGGCAAGAAGTGTATGGATGTTTTGGGAGAACAAAGCATTTCTTAAGGAACTGCAAATATCACCAGCATCACTCATCACTGTGAGTGATGGGAAGTTCTCTGAGAGGCAGCCTTGACCCCTTTTCTGTGCGTTGCTTTCCAGGACATGGTGCGCCGAGGAGAGATAATAGATGATGACATGGAAGACGAATTCTATCTCCGCCGCCTGGATGCTGGTCTCTTTGTTCTGCAGCTCATTTCCTACATCATGGCAGAAATCTGTAATGCCAATGTTCCCCAGGTAAAGCTGTGTACAGAGCTGATGGATCGCCGTGTTTCCATCTGTGATACAAATGAGACTAATCCTTGCAAATATTGGTCGCGTGATATAATAATGAAAAATATTGCATGATACAAGCAAGGCTATCTTTGCAAATATTGCCTCTTAATTCCTTTTTTTGGGAGGAATCTTGCTTGTTGCCCTGTGTCCATGCAGCTTTGTGAAGTTACAGCAGTGAGGAGGGCAGTAGTAGGTACAGGAGCTGGTGGTTACCACTGAGTTCATGCAGACTGCCATGAGCAAGGTCACAGTTAGAAACTGGAGGGCCCTGTTTATACCACTGCTTGAGTGCTGAAAGGGAATATCTCTTGGAAGGCCTCTCAGAGACACAGACTGCAGATGGGGACTTTTTCTGACCTCTGTGAAATACTGCATTTTTTTTTTGGCATGGCTGTGTTGGGGTTTGTGGCTGTATCTTGTGGTTACCTACATGTATGCCATTGTACTTTCCTGAATGTTTTAAGTGCTCTGGGACTGCAGACCAGCAAGGCTGAACTGGCTTTTGTGGTTCTTGTGGTTTCCACTCAAAAAGAGTGGAAAAAGTGGGGTTGTGCATGGCTTTGTGTTCTGATGAAGATTCCTTCCTTCTCTTTCCTGATCAGATCCGTCAGAGAGTCCATCAGATTCTGAACATGAGAGGCAGCTCCATTAAAATCGTTCGACACATACTGAAGGGTGAGTTGAGATATTCCTGTGCGTGTTTCATTCTGTACCAGGGACAGTTTGGTCAGGGCTCTGTAGGATGAGCCTTCACACACCATTCTCCCAGATTTCAGGAGCATCTCTGAGCAGCAATTATGATGTGAGATCTGACCAGGGCTGAAATCCTTGATAAGAGCCTTGCCTTGGAGTTAAGATGCTTGCTGTTGTCTGCTGTCATGTAATGCTACAGCACTTCATGCTGCTGTCAGCTGCAGGCTCACTGGCCCACGCTAGAATGCTAGAGTAAATATTTAAGAGAAGTGCATACACATGCTAGAGGAAAGAATAGTGGAGTCTCATCTTTCATTAACATGGCCCTGCTCTTTACCATCTGCACCATATTGGTATCCGTGGCGTATTTGTCTTGTTCTTAGTGTCAGATTAATATGGATTATAGCATTAAAGTATCCTCTGTAGCTTTAAAATGTAGCTGTTGTGATTTGCAGTCCTGATTCTAAAGTACTGCTTGTTATTTTGAATGCTTATGTTGAATTAGAGCAGTGCTTATTTGAGCTGTGTCTCTCATCTGTCGCCTGCTGTCCTTCAGCAGAAGCAGACAGTGAGACTGAGGGGGAGGGGACAGGGATCAGGGCTCTGTCTGCAGCCCAACCTGAGCTGCCAGCAACTGATCCATCGCCCCTGGGGGTGCCTCTCCTCATGTAGCAGAGGTCTGTGCTCCTGAGGGGCTGTGCAGGTCTTGGAGAGGAGGATTTCTCTCATGAAGAGAAAGAAAAGTTGTCAGCATGCTTGGGATTCTGGGCTTGGGGCCGTGTTGTTTCAGTCTCTCTGCTTTCTTTGGGAATAGCAATGATAGCAGGTATAAAAAAAATTTCTTTTAAAAAAAGAGTGATTTTCTGACAGCATGAGATTACCTGGAGCTACAGGCAGCTCTTTGGCCTCATTCTTCCCCAGAAAGTTCCCCAGAAGCAACGTTTGATGCTTCCTGCTTCCAAATGCCCATTTGCACCTTGGAACATGGCACATTTCTCCTTTCATGTGTGACCAAGGCCACAGGTGCTTGAGAGCCTTCCCTGCTCTGCACCTCGTGTGCCAGCACACCCCGTGTTCCCCTCTGTGCCTGTTGGCTCACATGCTGACTGGGGGCAGCTGCATGAACGCTTCATCCCATTCCTTCTTTCACAGACAGTGACTTGCATTGTGAAACTGTTGTAATGGTGTTATCGTGTCTGGTGAGCTGCTTAGAGAAATACAGATTGTACAGCAGTGTCAGCAGGGATGTGTTTGCTTTCTATAGAGACCTCAAATGGCACGTTAATAATAGGAATGATGGGTGCATTATTTGGGGCTTTCTCTTCAGCTCTTCCCCAGCTGTCACACTTGGCAGAGCTTTGAGATTCGTGCCGTCACAGTTGTCAGTAACTTTAGGAAGGAACTTCTTGGTGGGTCCTTGGGAAGCGCAGGGCTGGGGTGCCCCGAGGTTCCTGCCAGGCAGGGGTTGCACAGAGCTCATCTGCCATCTTTGCTGGTCACATTTAGCTTTTGTTAGTAGTTACAGCCCTTTTATTGAGTACCTCATCAGCAAAGACTGGGCCAGCTGTAACTGGGGTTACACCACAGTCAAAGCCCTGCCTCTCCAGAAGAGCTGATCCATTGGGCACAGCTTGGCTGGGGGCACTGAGCAGCTTCTGGAACTGAAACAGAGGAGGCTATGTTCTAGAGGAGGGAGCCTTGCCCTTGGCTGAAGCGTTTCTGAGCTGGTTTGCAGCTTGCTCTCAGGACAGGTGAGGGCCAGTTTATTTTTACTTTTCGTTCGGTGTTTCGCTTCCGTTCAGGTTTTATTTTCTATTTTTTGCATACTAATTAGGTGCTTGGTTTTTAGTTTGATTTTATGGCCTACATATTCTCCATGTTTCTCTGGCAACCTGACAGCTGATGGGTCCCCTGGGGTTGCTCAGAATTACTTATGATGCAGGCAAGGAAGCAGGACTGTTTCTGTATGGTAGGACTTCCAGGGGGAGGAGCAGGCAGGGAGTGCTGGAGGCTCATCAGCTGCACTCCTGCAGGCTGACCACTTGCCCTGCAGTTTCTTTCCCTTGAAGATCAGCATCCCTGCAGCAGGACAGTCAGCTCATCCTCTGGAGATGTGGCTGAGCAGTGCATGTCGTGGCTGGAAGGAGTGCTTGGGGCAGGGAGCAGTCCCTGCAAACCCCAGGGCACCTCTGGGGCCTATGGAGAGCTGAGCCAACCTGTTAGTGTGTGTAACCAGCAAGGGGTGGCAGGGATGCTGTAAGGACGATGCTAAATTTGGCCTGTGGTCCCTCTGTATGTGCAGGCTTTATGGCTTCCAATATCCATTACAAGCTTCAATATTTCCTTATTGATTTTTACTGTTCTGTAACCATTGTATTTTGTCTAATGAAGCAGAAACTGATCTCAGGTCCTTTCCCTTTGTGTAGCTACAGCAATGTGTAAGCTCTGTTTAACTGTAGGCAAAGGGAGCTGATGTCTGATTTTTGCTGTCTCACTGAAGTGATGGAATTTTAAATAAGCAAGTAAATACAGAAAATCTCAATGGTGATTTTATTTTCTTTTTTAAGCCCAGTTCTGAGGGTTTTATCTGCTCTTGTCAAATCAATATCAACCACTGTTGGTACCCCAATAACAGCCTGCCCTGGGAGTCGCTGGGCTCGTGGGCCCGTGAAACCAAAATGCTCGGGAGGAAAAATGTGGAGCTTCTGGAGAAGGCAAAGGGAATCCGTGTCCTGCTTGTGCCTGCCAGGCCAGCAGCAGGGCACTGATGCTGGGGGCACACAGCAGCCCCATTGCCAGTGTGCCGTGCCCCCACAGCTGGTGGCTGTCACTGCAGGCAGCCTCCCTGCCACCGGGAGCAGCCAGGCACCAGGCAGCCACGCTGTCCTCATCCTCCAAGTGCTCAGCACCACCAGCAGCCAGGAGCAGCAGCAGCCAGGAGAGCGTCGCCCTTGGGCTGCAATAAACAAAGGCAGTTGCATCTGTTTCAGAGGCACTTAGAGTGACAAAGCACAGAAGTGTTTGTGGACAGTGCCTGTTCCCCCTGGGGATCTGTGTGACACAGAGCGCTCTGATAACCGCCCGAAGGGGACAGGGGAGCCTGAGCCCAGCGCTCACCTCATCTCCTAGGCTCCTAATCCTGTGCTGTGCTGGGGCTCAGCTCCCACCTGCGCTGTGCAGCCAAACTTTTGCCCCTGGGCTGCCCTGCAGGCAGCTCAGCAGGTGGCTATAGGGAGCACAGCCGGGAGCTTGCTGCTGCTTCGTTAGCGAGCCGGCGAGCTGCTCTGTCACCTGGAGGGAGACTTCCCTGCCTTCATCCCCTTCTCCAGGACTGAGAAGAAGCAGGATTCACCCGCAGCAAGCTGTAGTGCTACTGCCTGCTCTTGTTACAGGTACTGTAGCAGCTGATAAATATTAAAAGGACTTCTTCCTGAGGCGTTGGCAAAGAATTCTGCTTTTTGTATGTGGAGAGAGAGAGAGAGAGAATGCACACATGAGGGAAGTCTCCCACATCAGCTAACTTCTCCCTGTCCTCACTCCTTTCAGTGCTCCTATAATAAAGGCTTTGATAGAGCTCAGAGGCATGTAGCAGTGCTGAACGTATAAATATTAAAGCAAACTTTCTCCAGCAACTTACCATTCAGATGCTGAATGCAAGCTGTTCAGTTTGTTTAGGAAGAAGGGAAAGAAAAAGAGAGGGCGGAGGCTGGAAAACACCATCTAACCAGGCAGGCTGCACCTGATTCACTGAGATTTGTGCAGATCCCTGCTTTTTTTACAGCTTAAACCTGCTTTTCATTTTCCCTTTTTAAGCCATCTTTGAATATGTAGGTTCTGGTGACAGAAAGGAGCAAGCTGGGGAGGGAATGAGAGCGAGGAGCTTTAGGTGGATGTCAGGAGAGAGCTGCAGGGGAATTCCTGTCGTGCTGTGTTTGGCCATGTGGGCTGGCAAAGCCTTGATCAGGATCTAGCTGAAGGCAAGGCGTTTGCTTTATGGTTGAATCTTAATTGGTTTGTTTCCTTCCATAGGGTTAAAAACGCTCATAGGCTGGGGAATTGATCTCCTTTGGACCAGTTCTACAGAACTCCTCCTTCAGGTTGCTTGGAAAATGGACACATCAAACCTGAAGTTAGGGGAGTTTAACAAATGTGTAACAGCCTGACCTCCCCGGGGGCTGCTGGTGGCAGAGGAGACCGCCTCTGTGCTGGGCTTCTCGGGCTGAAAGCAGCCAGCCCCACAGCTCTGCACTTCACCAGGCGCTGCTGACTGCTCCTCCCGGGAGGTGGGGCGGCCTCACGGTCTGCCCTTGGGGAGCTGCACGTCCCAGTGCTGCTGAATGACGAGAGCATCGTGTTCCTCTTTAAGTCTCTCTTTGCTACCAAAGCTTTAATGAGGGTCGGCGGATGTTTGTTAGGCAAAGCTTTAACGCTTGGAGATGGGGAAAGAAAATCATCTCACATAAATTCCCATCCGCTTGTTTGCGGTGCGCATGGATTTCACAGGAGAGGTCGGCCGTCGCTGCCTGTGTGGCTCACAGCCTGTTTGTGCTGCTTTCTGTCCTGCAGAGTATGCAGAGAACATCGGGGATGGGAAGAACCAGGAGTTCCGTGAGAGCGAGCAGAAGCGGATCGTGGACCTGCTGGAGAACTTCTGAGGCTCAGGGCTGAGCTCTGCGCTTCCCGGGGCGACGCGGCCTCTGTTTCCCCTCCTGCTGCTGCTCTCTTCCAGCCTCTATTGCACGACGAAAGCCATGTTTCTATGAAACTATTCTACGTGAGATGTTGGAGATATTAAAGATCAGTTTGCTTTTTTCTTTTTATTCCCTTGTCCGTTCTGTAAGGCGTCTGCTGCGAGCTGGGTTACAGCTGCTTACCTTGCTGTAGGGCAGCTTAGGACTTTTTTCCTTCAAATCAGACTGCTGTGACCAGAGCGTGAAGGAACACAACCATCTGCTTGCTGGAGGAGTGGCAAGGAGTGTGATACCAGCCAGGGAGCTGCGCCAGTGTGAGATGGGGAGGCAGAGGGCTTGGGTCTGTGTGCAGTTTGGCTGCTCCTCAGTGCACTGCCAGAGCAGCAGCCGCTGGGCCTCATCTGTGTGCGCTCTACAAAAGTCAGCCTTCTGAATCTGGAAGTGGGAGTCCAACTTCCTGCAGCAGCAGAGCCTGAAAAGCCCCACCAGCACCAGGGGGGCAGCGGGGGGAGGATGGAGTGATGTGAGTGATGGCAGCCTGCAGCTCGTTTCTGTGCTGCCCTTGCTGCCCTTGCAATGTAATCCCAGATGTTGGCCTGCCAGGTCCCACCGCTCCCCGAGCAGCAGCTCCCAGGATGAGAAGTGCCTGACACTATTTGCCTGCATCTTTTTTTTTTTTTCCTTCTGCTAAAGTTAATGACTGTCATCACAAAACATCGCTGCTCCAGCAAGCTGGGCCCTGCCTAATTTAGGGAGATTTGCATGCTGGCAGCATTCATTTTTTATCTCCAAGAAAAATGCATTGTCAGGGAAGCTTAAAGGCTGCCTTCAATCATGACTGTAGCAGGCACTGCTGGCCCGGGTGGCATCAAATGCTGTTATTCAGGGGATCAGCATGGAAATAGTGGCTCCAGCAGCCACGGGGAGCTGCAGAACACATTTTTGGTGCCGAACTCGTTTGAATTCTTCATTTCTTTTTCATTCCTTATTTTTTAAAGTAATTTTCACCCCTCACCTCTTCCTTAAAAAGGTTGGTTTGTTGTTTTTTTTCCTTCTACCCTTCAGCTTTGTTCAGTTTCTGACTTTGCACGACTCCTGGGGTTCCTCCCTCCCATGCAGCGTTGTGTGTGGCTGAGCTGCTGCCTTCCCTGCTGGAAGGCACTCTGGTGTTGTGCCACCATACCTGAAAGGCAGAGGAGAAGAGAAGGGAGGTGAGGAGGCGCTTCTGAGGCAGAACAGGAGGGACTTAGCAAAAGTGAAGTGACGTGGAAAAGTGGGGGACGTACCTTGGGTGAGGAAAAAGTGGGGAGCTGTTGAAAATAGTCATGAAGGTGCCTGAGTGCCCGATGAGGTTGTGGGGTTTGCTTTTGGCTTGGATGTCAGCACGCTGTGAGTGCCATCACTCTGTGTCTGCCCGTGTCAGCCTGGCTCGCAGGCTGTGCAGGACTGTGGCTGCTTCTCCCCTCGCTGCTCTGCTGGGTTCTGCTTTCAGAAAGCTCCTTTCCCTTCCCCTCAGTGTTTTCCATTCCAGATGCATTAGCTGAGTTACTTAATATGGAGGCTAGACTGGAAATAATTCCCTGCTCTAATGGCCGGGCTGCCAGCTCTCCAGCACTGCTGGAGGAAGTGAGGCTGCCGTGGAGCTCCTGCTTTGCAAGGCAGTGTTTCTGTCACTGCTTTTTTCCCCCTTTTTGCCATTTGTCAGCTCTTCAATCCACCCCACCTGAGCCTGTGGATGGCTCACAGGAGTCAGTGTGCTCCACCAGGTTTCTGCAGAACAGACAATAAATTATTCTCCCTATCTCCATCGTGGTTAAGAGGCACAGACCCCCTGTGCACACATTGGGATCCTCTGCTGGGCAGTCTCTGTATGCCGACTTCTTGCTCTGCCTGCTTGTAAACCCAGGCCCCTGTAAGGCAAAGCCCCACACGTGGGCTGCACCTCAGGCACGCAGGACTGAGGCTGGGTTGGCTCACAGCAGGGGAACAGGCACGGGATGGAGGCAGCAGAGCATGAGGGCAGGGAGCCCCATCTGCACCGCACCTCTCGTTGGGCCGTGTTTTCTTGTCTCTGATTGTAAACAGATTTGACTAAAGAGGTAAATTAGAAGTTAATTAGAAAGAACATGATTGATGAGGCACTCTGCAAGTTTCCTACCGCCCTGTCCGTGCTCAGGAAGGAAGGAGAGGGGGGGGGATTCTGCAGCATCACCTTCACCCCCGCCCTGCGCAGCGCTGTGGTACCCAGCAGTGGCACCGAGCCCCAGCCCACAGCCCTGCTCCTCCCCTGGGCTCCAGGTGGGGGAGGAAACAGGAGGCACTGAATTGAGGAGATGCTGTCAGAACTGGGCAGTGAGCCTTCAGCAGCACAAGTAAAAGTCACTGAAGATACTTGTTTCATTTCTAGCTTCTTGTATCTAAGATTAATGAAGTAAATAGCAAGGAGGGGGGAAAGGGGGTCTTATTTCTTCCTGCACGTTTAATACTTTGGTCCTTACAGCAGTGGTCTGGGAGCGCTGCAGCAATGATTGACACCCATGACGGCACTGCTGTGCACTGGGAGCCCACGGTGGCTCTGCAGAGGAGGAAGGAGTTAATGGGCTGGAAATGAGCGTGAATTGTTCTCGAAAGTAATAATTCTTGCCAAGTGATTTTCTTCTGCCTTTGCTGCCTGGGGTGACGGTGCCTGGTGTGGGGCTCCCCTTGGGTTGGGAGCTGTGTCCTGTGCCCCCCCCTGCTGCCCTCGTGCCTTTAAGGTCTGCGCTCCTCCAGCACGTGCTGTCTGCAGCTCATCGCCTGCCGGCCGCTTTGTGGAGGAGGAGGTTGTGATTTGGGGTGTCGGTGGCATTGTTTTCCTGCAGCGCACGCAGACCTTTGCGAATAATCTAATAATGCAGGGCTGTCAAACTTCAGCAGCGGAAGGGAATCCTTTTATACGAGGATTGCCAAGTCTCCGAGCGAGCATCAGCACCGCGCTCGTACGGATGCTGAAGGGCGTTTGTTCCGTTTGTTCTGCCCACCAGCGAGACGAACGGCCCCATCTGCTCCCCCAGCAGGCAGCCCTCAGTGGGGCTGAGCCCCAGCCTGGGAGGCACCGCTCCTCGTGCTGCTCCTCTCCGCTCCGATCCGTGCGAGGTGTGGGGCGCTGCTCCCCCTCAGCGCCTGCCTGGTGCTGCGGCGCTGGTGGCGGATGGCACCCGGAGCCGGGGTGGGTGGCCGGGCCGTGCAGAGCGGAACCAACGGCGTCCGCCAAATGAAACAGCGAGCGGAAAGGCTGGCAGGAGCGGAGATAAGAAACGCTTCATCCTCCAGAGCGAGGCCCTGGGCGTGCTCCTCTGAAGCAGGAGCCCTGCGCGGGTTGCCGGCTGCGTTGGAGGCTCGGCGTGGGCAGATAAGGGCTCTTTGTGCAGCATCCCCCCACCGGGCAGCTGCCGGCTCTGCTCCCGGCTGCGGAGTGAGCGGCCGTCCCCGGTGTGTGGGGCTCGGTGGGGCTGCGCGGCAGCGATAGCGGGCAGCATCTGCTCTGGCCCTGATAGCTGATGAATTAAAATTGAGGAGGAAAATGAAACCTTCCACTTGTGCACGAGATACGAGGACGCGCGGCTCTTCCTTTCTGCACGGCCGCCTCGTTGTCAGCTCCTCACCCCGCTGCAGCTGCAGGAATTGGCTGGAATTGGGGCTTCATTCGGCTCTGCATACGGAGACGTTCCCAGCTCCGGGAGAAATCGATGTTCTCCTTGCTTCCTCGGGGCGTGATTTAAGTGTGTGCGATGACAGGAGGGGAAGGGGAGCAGAGGGGGGTCAGTAGGTAGCCTTGGTTGTGCTGGGGGCGCCAGGACAGCCGCATCCCATGGCTCTCCTGAGGCGGTTTGGTGCTTCGTGGAGCCGTGGGGGCAGCGCTGTGGCACGGGGGGACCTGGCAGGGGTTGAGGTGGGTCCCACGGTGGGGTTGTGTGTGTGAGCCCCCAGCGCTGCACACCGAGCCCCCCATCCACGCAGCAGCCGCTGCCCCGGCCCATCCATCACCTCGCTCTTTCCCTCTTTCCCCCAGCGTGTAACTCTAGAGGGAGTAATGAACTCGAGCAGAGATCAATGCTGTCTGTTCTGCTCTTACGTGGGCTTTATTTTGACACGCGGAAAGCACCGCAGCGCACAGAACTTTTTTTCGTTTTGTTTTACAACCGCTGCTTTATGGTGGCGGCTGAGCGGCTTCGGGGCTCTGCTGCGTCCCCCGGGCCCTCCGTGCAGGGCCGGGATGGGAAAATCGACCGCGGCACTGCCCGAGGATCCTCGCGAGGGAGCGAGGAGTGTTGTGTTTCCATTGCATTTTCAAGTCCAGTGTAAAGAATCTCTTTGCAGCCAGCATCTGTCATCTCGGTGCAGGGAACACCTGAACGATCTGATTGCCGCTGTTTATCGCGGAGGAAATATCCTTCAGATGGCTTCGCTCCCCGCGTGCGGCTGTGCCCCCCTCCCAGAGCGGTGCGGGGCTGAGGCTGCGGGGCCGCCGCCTTCGGGCTCTTCGCGTTCTGAACGTTTCAGCACAGGAACGCGAACGGCGCAGGCGGTGCCGGGCCGACCCGGTGCAGCCCCGGGGTGCGGGCTCAGCAGCGGGCGGAGGGGCGAGAAGCAGGGGGGGGTCCGGGGGTCGCCGCGGCGGTCCACGGGGGGGGGACGGAGCCGGGCGGGGGGTTCGGGAGAGCGAACGGTGCCGGCGATCGCGGCCCTTCCCGCTGCCGCCGGGCGCCGTCCCGATGCCGGGGATCGCCGTGACCCCGCGTTCCGCTCCGCGCTCGCTCAGCCCCGCCCCGCCCCGCGCACTTTAAGAATGAACCGTGGGAAAAAAAACTTTGGGGGTGTGCGCGGGTCGGGATCCCTCCGCCGGGCGGGGGAGGCTCCGGGCTGAGCCGCTGCACCGCCTCGGCGAGCGGCGCCCTCCGCAAAGCGAGGGAAGAGCTCCGCAGCGCGGCGGCGCCGGGACCGCGGCGCAGCCCCGGGGACGCGGCTCGGCCCGGCGGCGCCGCCGCTCCCCCCCGGGACGGAGGCGGCACGATGGGCGCCCTGGGCCTGGCCGTGGGGATTTTCCATTACCTGGGGCTCTACCTGCAGCTCGGCGCCGCCTCCCGGCCCCCCCCGTGGGACGCCCCGGCGGAGGGCAGCGGTGAGCGCGAGCACCGGGCGGGCACCGGGGATGGGGACGGTTGCGGGGCGGGGGATGGCCGGCGGGTGGGGCGCGCCCGGGGATCGGTCCCGGCGGTGCGGCTGCCCGGGGCGCGGCGGAGCGCGACCGAACGGCGGCGGCGGCGGAGGCGGAGGGGTCCCGGGGGCCGCGGCGGGGCCGGGTTTCGGCAGCACGGAGCGCTCCGTCGCGGCGGCGGCTCCGCGGAGCGAGGGCGGAGGATCGGGGCTGCGCTCCGCCGCTCCTTTCACTCGGCCTTCGCCGCCGGGCGCGGTGCAGCCCCGTCTGCATCCCGCGCTCCGCCGCACGCCTCTCGCAGCGGGAGCGCCGTCTCCCCTCGAGGCTCCTTCCGTCCCCTCGCGTTATCCGTCCCCGCGGATCCGCCGGAGGAGCGCCCGGAGGACGGCGCCGGGATCTCCGTGGGATCGCGGCATCACGGAAGCGGGCGCTGCCCCGCGCCGCGGGGGGCTGAGACCCCAACCGACCGCGGATGCTCGGGGCCGTCGGGGGTCCCTCCCGGCCCGGGGAGCCGCTGGTGGGGCCGGGCTGGGGCCGGAGCCGGCCCTGGGGGAGGATCTGTCCCCTCTCCGTGGGATGAAGGCGAAGGGCTGCGGCCCGTGGGCTGGGTGAGGTGGGTGAGCGGCATGCGGGTCCCGCACCGCACCGCTCAGAAATTCAGCAATCGTTAAAAAAAAGCGATGAAATGGTGTCCGTGAAGGAGAAAGGACCGAGGGGAGGGTCGTGGAGGTGGGGAGCGCACCTCGGAGCCCCGTTACGGCTTTGGGCTGCGAGCGATTCCGCAGCGACTCCCTTAATCACAACAGAAACCTTTATTAACGGTACTGAAAAGCAGTGAGTAAGTGGGTCATGGATAATAAGCCATCCGTGTTCAGTAGGTGAATACCAATTCGAGGAGAGCCGTGTGCCGTATCAATCGCCGCTCGGCAGGAGGGAGGCGGATGGGTCCCCGCCACCGGGGGCTGCGATCGCTCCCTGCGGCCTCTCGGCTCCCCCTGAGCTCCGGGCGCCACCCGGGGGGTGTCAGCGCTGGGCTCGGCCCGGGCGCAGGCGGTGCAGGAGGGGCTGAGCGAAGGCTCCGTGGCCCCGGGGCAGCGCGCTTTGCCCGGTGGTGATTCCGGCCCCGAGCCGCTCGGTAAGCAGCGCGCGTTGCGGGCGGGAGAGCCCCGTCTCCTTCCCTGCATCATTTGCAAGCGGTAGCGGCTCCCATCAATAACCGCTGGCTGAATGGCTGAGGGCTGCGGGAGCGCCGGCCCGGCTCCCCGGGGTGCTGCCCCGCTCCTTTGTCTCACACGCCAATGATTATTCTATCAATTACTTTCATAAACACTTTGCATTGTGCCGGATTTTTTCATGCTTCCTGGTGGGAATTCTCCATCCGATGTGTTTTTCCTGCTGCTGCTCGTGCAGTCATTCAGCACAATTACTTCTGACACCTCTCCTCATCAAATGTCTGCGCGTTCCTTTCCCTTGAAGAAGGCTGGCAGGCGACGGCCAGGCGCTGGGAATTACTACGTTAGGACGCCGACGGCTGATTTTAAGCTGAGCCAACGGTGCCAGGAGGTGGGGCTGCGAATGGGACCCCCTCAGGGCCGGGGGCTTCGCTGCTGCCGGGGCTGTGCTGGGGACATTGGGCACCGCCTCTGTGTCGGCTGCTTTGGGCTCCGTGCACGACTGTGGATCCCACATCCCCTCCCTGCACACTTTCGCCTCGGCCCCACTGGCAGCTCCCCACTGCAGCGCTTGTGCTGAGGGACCCCCGGGTGGATCCTGCTGTGCTGTGCTCTCCTCAGTGGGGAAATCGCCCCGTAACAGACGGATGCATTCCAGGAGTGCATGATGTGTGCAGGACGGGCCGCCAGATGCTGCCGGGGTCCCTCCAGGAGCCACAGGACCAGGCCCATTTTTTAATTCTTTTTTTGCCACTTCTACTATCAAATAACTGCTCCTCCTTGTTCCCTTTGGAAGCAAAGTGCTACGGCCAGAGCTTCAGCCCCACACGGCTGCTGTGGGAGCAAGGAGCTCCAATGCCAGGTGGGAGTGGGGCTGCAATGGCAGAAATCCCCCCAGGTTCTGGGTTGGCTCGGCCTGAAGGCACTGCGAGCTCTGCAGGACGGCGATGGCAGAGGTGCAGCAATGCCCTGCAGCAGTGAAGCCCCGGTGCTGCAGGGCTGGGCCAGACACGGCCGTGCAGCGGGAAGAAGTCTCACTTCATGGCCATGGCTGAGGCTGGGGGGCTCTGGGGTCTCTGGGCGGGTGCAGCGGTCATTGCATGGTGTTGGTTCCTCGCTGTTTGGGTGACCCAGGGGTGGCCGTTGCTGCTTGTAGAGTTGTCAGGAGGAGATTTGGTGGGTGGGAGCAGGAGGGCGGTTTCACCCTGCAGTGTGGGGCAGCACCTGGCTCTGCTCGGGGACACCGCTGCACCACAGCCCCTGCAGCTGTCGGTCCCACTGAGGTTGGGGTCGGTCGTCACCGGGGTGCTGACACAGAGCGGGGGACACACAGCTGTGTGCCCTCCTGTGCTGCCCTTCCTGCGCTCTGCTGCGGGGTTTTGGGGAGGGGGGAGAGGGGTGCAGGAGGCAGGGGCAGGATGAGCAGAGCGCGTGGCCCTGCTGGCAATTAGTGCTCGGAGTGTCTTGACTCACCCAGCCATAATAAACCGTGAATTATGACTTGGAGCTTTATGAAGAGAAAGGATCAGCCACACTTGATCGCTGCCCGAAACACAATAGCAGAGCTTGGGAGGGGGGTGAGGGGGGCAGCGGCTCTCACAGCAGCCGTGCATGCCCTGCATTCCCCCCACCCCCTGTGCCCCGCACCCTGCCGCACCCTCGGGGCCACTTCTCCCCCTCCACAAACCCCTTTTCCCCCTCTCTTTGCCCTCTGTGCTTTGCACTGGGGGACAGATGGGGGGTGATGGTGCCCAGACCCCCACGTGGGGGCTCAGGAGGTGTCTGTGGGCTCTCCTTGCAGGCCCAGCCCAGCTCAGGGGCTGCAGAACAGAGCTGCAGCCATCAGGCCCAAATCTTCATCCGTCGGCCCCAGATCTCCATCCCTGAGCCCCACACCCTGCAGGGCTGGAGCAGGGCTGGGTTTATCCCCAGCGTTGGCAGTTCAGTGGTGCGATGGGGGCCGCTCTGTTTCAGAGGGGTAAATAATTCACGAAGCGAGCTGGTGCACTAACACAGTAATTAATATGCTTTTGCCAATGTCCAATACATATTTAATCGCCCTTCGGTGCGTGTTTACACAAACAGCACAGCAGTGTCAGCCACAGCACTGCCAGCACTGAAGGTCTGGGGTCTGCAGCTCCTCTGCCCCTGCACGGCCCTGAGCACCGGGATGCGCGCTGCTGTGAGCGCCGGGCTTGGGGCTGCGGGCCCTGAGAGGAGCCCTGAGCTGCTTCCAGGCACTGGTGTGGCCGTGGCCATGGGGCAGGGGGCTGTGGGGGCTGTAGGGGCTGTGGGGGCCGATCCTGCCCAACGGTGGGGGGGCAGCAGCCGCTCTGTCTGCGGTTTATGAGCGCACGGAGCCGTCCCAGCAGGCGTTTTCAATTCCGTTTATCTGTGTTTCCCCATTGAGTTCATTTTATTTCCCCTGATTTTTGTTTCCTGGAAGATTTATCGATCCTGATTTGCTCAGTTTATGACAGGTAGCGGCCATAAAGCAGCAGAGCCGTGGGCCCTGCAGCCCCCCCTCCCTCCGTCTGTGAGGACACGGTGCAATGTCAGGGACAGGGATGGGCTGGGGACTGAGGGGGGCTGCCCCATTGCAACACCCTGTAGTGCCATAGCTCCAACAAGCCCTGCAAGCTGCTTGTTGGCTGGGGAAGGGGACGGGGATGGGGTTGGGATGGGGATGGGGATGCACCTTGCACCGTGCCATTACAGCAGGGCCTGTGGGGTGATGGGGAGAGCAGCGCCGGGGTGGCAGAACTGGGGCTGCTGTGGGGTTTGCTCACGAAGGACCTTCCTGCTCCCAGCCCACTGCTGGAAGTCGGAGTGTGGAGGGACGCACCTCTGCCACTGCCGTGCAGGGATGGAGGGACTGCAGCTGCAGTGCTGAGCCCACACGGGGCACAGGCAGCTCCCACACCGCGTTCCTCCGTTCCCTGCTAAGATGGATTAAAGGAAAGCTATAAGTCTATAGGATTGCCACGCGTCCGGGGGGACGGAGCGATATTAGAGGCATTAACTTTTCTGTCATGCTGATAATAAGCCGTGTTCTGATGGGATCAGGCTCGGTAAGGAGCCCCAGGGCTGCTCGATGCTCAGGGAGTTCTGTGTGGGCACCGTGGGACTGAATGGCTGCCGGAGCCACAGCAGCCCCTGGTGGGGACAGATCCTTCCTGGGCCCGGGTGTGGAGCTGTGCTGGGGGTCTCAGCACTGCCACAACTCCAAGCAGTGCCTGTGGGGAGGGGGCACAGCACCTTGCCAGCCCTGGGTGCCCCATGCCCACATCGTGCTGTGGCTGCTCCGTCTCCCAGTGACCCCCGCAGTGAGACCAATATGCAGAGGAACGCTGATCTCTCCAGAGGAGATGAAAAGAATTCTAATTACATCTCTGAACAATATTTGTTTTGAGAGAGGAAAGCAAACCATATGGCATGTGGGAGACTGTTTGGGGGCCGCATTAAACAAGGATTTGTTTTTCATTTATGCTCCGATTTCGGCGGGGATGCGATCGCGCTGCGTTCATTCATCGCCCCTTCGGGTCCTGAGCCGGGGCAGAGGGGCTCGGGGGGTCCCAGAGGCGGGGGGCACAGGGATGGGGGGCACAGGTTGGGGCTCTGGGCACGGCACATCCACGGTGCCCGCAGCCCCGCTCTGCCCACACAGCGCTGTTCACGGAGACCCCGCACGATGTGACGGCGCAGGCAGGTGAGGATGTGGAGATGGCGTGCTCCTTCCGCGGCAGCGGCTCCCCGTCGTACTCCCTTGAGATCCAGTGGTGGTACGTCCGCACCCACAAGGACTGGACAGACAAACAGACGTGGGCTTCTGGCCAGGTAACGCCGCTGCCGGCGCTGGGGGGGGGGGGACGCACATCGCGCGGCCTTCCGTTCTTCCCCCCATTTCCATGTCTATCGGCCTTGGCAGACGGCTGTCTCCGTTTCCCTTTCTGTTTGCACGGAGATAAGGGCCCAATAAAAGGAGGGCGGCTTTCGGTATCTTAATGAGCCCTCATTATTGTGCGTTTGGCAGAGCTGTGTGGGCTCTGCCATGTGCTGAGGCCACTGGGGTCACTCCTGGCCCCGCTCCCATCCCGGCTTCTCGTGGGGTGGGAATCGGCCGACGGTTCCCCGTTCCAGCCCAACTGATATCCTCCCTTCTCCCCCCATCCCTCTCTCCCAGCAGCTAAAAGCATCACAGCAGGAGGAGGCTGGGAAGGACGCAACAAAAATCAGCGTGAGTTCCAATCGCGGCTCTGATGAGGTCTGTGCCTGGGGGCACCGCAGCCCCCAACGCCTGCACCCACTGCACGGAACGCGGGGGGCTGCTGCACCCAGGGGCTTCTTTCTGTCCCCATCGCCCCAACCTGGGCAGCGCGGGGCCCAGCAGTGCCACACTGGGTGCCATCCTTTGGGGAGAGCGGTCGGGTTTCCTCCCCGGTGCTCCCGATCCAGTTGTGCTCATGGGATCAGAATGAGGAGACACCAATCAGTTCAATTAAACACGTGCTGCTGGCTGTGTGCTGCTGCCTGGCCCTGCTGCGTCATCCCAGCAAAAGGGCAAAAAGGTGTTGGGCGGCGCCGAGCCCAACCTGCACCATGTGGGCACTGCTGTCCCTCCTCATCAGTGGGGATTAGCACATGTAAATTCCATTGCTGGTAATGAACGCCCCGGGGAGACAATATCCCCTTTGATCGATTCTCCGCGTGGCTTCCTGAGCTCTGAGGCCCATTTGTCACTTTCCTCCTGATGGACCACGCAACACTCCCAGAATTAATGCCTGGAGCCCAGCGGGCACCCGCAGCATCCCTCCCTGTGCTGGAGGAGCCCTGCACCGTGATGCTGGACCCCCCAGCCCTCTCTGCTCCCATTCCATGGGCACTTGTGGCTCTTTGGCAGCAGCTCTGGCCCCGTTTCCAAACACGAAGCCCTCAGCCAACACACATGGCGGCGAGTAGAAAAACGGCCCGTGCCGTCCCGTGTGATTACAGGGAACGGAGCCGGGGGCCTCGGGGCGGGCCATCAATCTGATTTATTGACCCAACCCCACGGCAGCCGCGGCGCTGGCTGGTGAATAAGTCTTAAATTTCATTGGGCGATAAATACCGCGAGCGAATCAATTTGGTAGAAAAGCTAATTAGCGGCGCGGCCGAGCGTCCGTCTCAGCCGGCGCAAAACTCCGAGCAGCAGCGAGGGATTGGGGCCGGGGGTCCCCAAGGGGCCGCGGGGGGTCCTGACGCCGCGCTCCGCCGCAGGTGGTGAAGGTGGTCGGCAGCAACATCTCGCACAAACTGCGGCTGTCGCGGGTGAAGCCGGCGGATGAAGGCACGTACGAGTGCCGCGTCATCGATACCAGCGAGGGCTCGGCGCGGCAGCACAAGGTGAAGGCGTATCTGCGCGTGGAGGCGGCGCGCGGCGCCGGGCATCCCCAGGACACGCAGCCACCCGGCCCGCATCTGCATCACCACCAGCACAAGGCCGGCAGGGAGCTCAGGAAGCGCGCGGCCGACGCCTCCTGCGTGCTGTAGGACTGCTGCTGCCCCACGGACTGACCTCGACGCTGGGCTCTCCCCCCCCGCTCCGGTTTGCCCCTCCCGGCTTCGCGCCCCCCCCTCTGCTCCCCTTCGTGCTTTGCAGAACGGTCCCCATCCGCACCCCAAGTAGGAGGCCCCGTTTAGTTGCTTGGTTCCCTTTCACCCCACTTCACAGCCCATCTGTCATCCCAGCGGCCATTTTAGGGACTGTATATACTGCCTTCTCCCCTGCTTGCCCCACAGCTGCCCCAGTGTGCCGAGGCCTGAGCCCAGTGCAGGAAGGACGGTGTGTGTGGGGGGGTCTCACTGCCACCCCACTGCCCGCACCCTGGGACCCCACCATGGGGCACCGCCGCTGGGGAGGGGGCTGCAGAGGGAAGAGGGCCTGGGGTCCTATTGCCCTCGCACCCCCCTCTCAGCCTGCACCACCTGCAGCTAATAAAGCTCCTTAACGAATCCTGCAGGCGTCTCTGTCCTTGGAGGGGCTGGGGGGGATAAAAAGGAGCACAGCACAGCTGAGCCTTGCTGGGGCTGCTGTGCACTGTGGGACCGGGAGCAGCAGAGGGGTTGGGGTGGGCGCAGGTGCAGAAGGCATTTGGGTGGGCTCTGCCCTGTGGTCTGGAGGAGCTCTTTCCTGCTTTTTGTTGGCAAAGCTCAAAGCTCGGCTCTGCTGCTGTTTATTAAGCCGTGGAGCTCCATTTCCCTCTCGGTGTGCTGATATTAAACAATTTGTCATGCACTGAAGAAACAGAAGCCTGGTGTCAGCAGCACCGGGGGCATGCAGCTGGAGTTGGGGGCTTCACCATGGACAGGAGATGTGATCGCATCGAGTGAGCAGCACAGCAGCCCATAAATACAGCGGCACTTTGTCGGGGCAGAAATGTGTGCAGCCCCAGCCGTGGGGCTCTGCTGGAAGCTCTGCTCCACCACGGGCAGCAGTGGCTCTGCTCATCTCTGCGCGTCGTGCTCGGCTGCTCCCCGCCAGGGAATGCATGTCAGGGTGGGAGGGGAGGATCAGCCAGCGGGTAATAAGCGTCTGCAGGAGGAGAGGGAAGAGCTGGGGCTGCGCTGAGGAGAGGAGCAGGCTGCAAATCACCTCAAACGGCGAGCAAACAAATGGCTGTTTGGCGTGGCAATTTGCAAAACCTAGAGGCAGGCCGTTAAAAATAACAGCTTTTATTGGAAGAGATTCATTTCGCCGAGTTGATGGGAAACGTTGGGAGCAGGAGATGGAGCGGGGAGAGAGGGGAGCAGCGGGGCTGGGAGCTGCACCCGCGGGCACAGTGCTGCCACCTGTGTGCAGGCTCACTCTGTTCTGCATCACAGACAAGGTGAGGTGGCTGCAGCCGGTGCCTCCTGGCCTCGTGGGTCTCTGCGGTGTGCTCAGCCTCCAGAGGATGGGTAGCTGAAGAGCAGCACTGAGGAGCAGCACTGCTGCCACCAAGGGCTCTGGCACAGGCAGGCCTGGCGGTGGTGTCTGGGCAATGGGTTTTGAGCAGTGCTACAGCAATCCTGCAGCAATCCCAGGAGGGCTATGGAGACTAAAGGGAATGTTTCGCCCGCCCGCCTCTCCTGCCTTCCCTCATTGGGTGATCAGCTCTGAAAGGTTCCCCTGGACCAAATGCAGCCTGATGTTAAGTGCTGTGTGTACTTAGGAAGAAGCACAAAGGGTAAAAGCTGAGCTGCAGCCTTGACCTCTTGGTGAAAAGCCACTGAGCTGCGTTCCTCATGGAAAAACAACCAGGAGCAAAGCCTAAGCAAAACCAAGGTGAGGGAAACCACCTCAGCAGCCCCCACACTGCACTCCAGATACTCAGCCAGGATCCCTGGCAATAACACACAAAGCTGGTCCCATGTAACAACCCATTTATTTCATTGCATTTTCTATTTCTGAGCTTGCTTCTGAAATGAGAGTGGAGATCTGCCCTTCTGTGTAACCAGCATCAAACTTTCAGTTGGCTGCCAGAGGCCACGTGGGACGAGGCTGATGAGTTTGGGGTGGATGGAGCAGTGCCTGCAGGGCTCGGGGCAGCCTCAGGTGAGTGCAGCAGGACCTGCAGCCTTGCACCAAATGTCACCGCCTGGCCACATGCACGCAGCCAGCAGCCTGATGCTTCTCCTTGGGGTGGGCGTTAAGGATTGGAGAGGTTTGAGAAATAGCCTGCAAGAAATGGCAGGCAATCTGGGAATAAGGGGGACTCTTAAATCACTTGCAAGTTGTAAATCAAGGCTGGCTGTTTATCTAAAGGATCTGCCGCGGCTCAACGGCAAGAATCAGGCAGCACGATTCATTTGGCCTGGCTTAAATAACTGTAAGGGAAAACCTGGCTATTGCTAAGGGGAAAGCAGGATGCTGTTCTCAGTAATACTGGTGAGGCATTCCCTGTAAATGGATATAGCTGTTGTTCTTGATTTCAGTTAATATCAGAAGAGGATTTCTAACGTGCCGCCTCTCCAGGAGGGTTAAGCGTTAGTTTTCAGATGGCAGGGATGTTCCAGGTGGGGACGGGACACAACAGCTGTAAGGGCAAAGGGTGCAGGTCTGGTGCTGCAGGGATGTCACCCAACCACCGAGTGCTGGGATGTCATGTCTGGAAAACAACTCTTTGTCCTGCAGATCTGGAAAGAGCTGTGCTCTGACCCTCCCATCTCCTCCAGCACAGCGTGCAAAGTACAAACCTGGAGGAGCTGGGACGAGGCACCCACCTCACCTCCAAACACTGCTTAAAGAAAACCTTTCACCCACGGGGAAGGCGCCTCAGTCAGGACCCAAACAGGGCCGTGGTTTCCCCTGCAATGACGCTGGGCATCGCTGCCAGGATTCTCCCAGGTGAGCGCTGTGTGGCGGCGGTTCTCCTCTCCTCTGCCAGCTGCTGTGAAGGTCCTCACGGAGGAGGTGCCCTCTGTGCCCCTGCACTCTCCTGTTGCTGCAGTTCCTCCAGCAGAAGCAGGATGTTGTTGGTGAACTCATCGCGCTGCTTTCCCATCCCACGCAGCTTCACAGGCTGCAGGCTGGCGTGAGGAGCCTCGTATGGCTGTGGGCAGCACACCTCAGTCAGCAACAGCCAGGTGCTGTCAGGGTCCACACGCATTAAGTGGCGGAAAACGCTTCAGAAAGCAATGGGAAGAAAGGAGAGATGAGTAAGGAGAAAAGGTTTTTTTCATTTACATCCAGTGGGGTCATTATAAGCAGCTCAGGAACGCATTGGCTCTGTCTGCAACCTACACAGCTTTCCAGGCTGGGCCTCTAAGAGCTGCATGCTGTTCTGAGGGTCTGTCTTCCAGTCTCTCCCATTCTGATTTCTTATGAACTGCCTCTACATTTTTCCCCCTTCTACACAGCGCTTTCAGAAAGCAGAGTTCCTTCCCTTGCCTGGTGCTCGCTGGCTGTGCTGGTGGGAGCAAACTGTGCTGACTGCAGGGAGCAGCAGCTCCCCTCTGTCTCCCTGGCTTACGGTGGGTGGCTGCACAGAAACCATCCCCATTCCTTCTGCCTGGGATGGATCACAGCAGGCAAGGAAGATGAATCACTGGGAAGTCAATGTGGGAATGGGGAATGCTGTGCTCCTGCCATCCATCTCCCCAGCTTCCACTCCTGTATTCACAGCACAGAGCTCCTGGTCTCCAACCCTTCCCCAAGGGATCTGCTGCTCTCCATAGAGCTCCACTGCCTCTCCTGCCCACAATGGCTCACGGCCTGGGATCATCTCCTGTAACCCAGACTGCTGTGCAGCAGCTTCAAGAACAACTGGACTCTTGCAGTTCCAAACTAACTCTTTGGGTAGTATCTAAGCAACCTGTTTCCATGGCAAACAAACCTGGGGTTAATCCAGGTTTGTTTTCTGTTGTTGGTTTTTTTTTTTTAAGTTCAATATCATTTCATTGAATGCTGCCACGTGCAGGTGGCTGTCTTAGTGGGTTTCAGCCCAGCTTGCAAATGACAGCTGTTAGTAAGAATCCAATAAGCTGCACAGTCAAAGCAAAGGATGTCGTTAATGCTGTGTAATCAAATATGGTATCTAAAAAGATCCCCAAATTGCTCCAATTTGTTCCAGTTGTGTGAACCAACTGGTTCTTATGGCACAGGGCAGTGAGGCTATTCTGATAGCTGGGCTTTGCCCAGGCTCAGAGCAAAGCCATGGCACAAATGGGCTGGCAGAAGAACCAGCCTGCCTGGCTTTCGCAGCTGTGCTGGGTAATAACTGGAGACGGGTCACTGCAGGCTTCAGCACGAGCAGGGAAATCATTTCTGTGCCTCAGAAAAAAGCATTCCTCCCCAGAATGGTGACGGAAAGGTCAAATGGGAAACTTGACAGACTGTAAACATTTATTAAAAAGAAGTGTAAATTTCAAAACAGTCACTTCAAACGGAGAAAAAATGCCCAGCTATTTGTAAAGCGCTGACATGGGCCAGTGACAATTTCTTCATCTCTCTTTTTTTCCTTCTCCTTCAGGGTTTGATGTTCTGTTTTTCCTCAAGCTGAGGATCTTAGGGGTGATGCCATTCAGGAAGTGGATCAGATGCTCAAATCCACGTTCTGGTTTGCACCGTTTTCCCCCCATCTCATTCCTGACCCCTCACAGCGCAGCCCCTCTGCTGCACAATGTCTGCTCACCTTCCTTGAAGGCATGCTGCCTCATTTTCCATCAAAGCAAAGCTGCCCCTATGTTCCCTGCTTTTCCCAAACCTTGGTGTTTCGGTTTCTTAAACCAAGATTTGGGTAATGCTTATCTCCTGGAATACCACCAGCAGCCATAGGAAAGCCCTGCTTTCCCTGCCTCAGACACGCTGCAGTTCTTCCTTTCCCAGCATCTATTTTTGCCCGTTGAGTTCTGCACAAAGCTGCATTTGCCAAATTCACTTACTCCCACTGCTTCATCCAATAAAACTACAGGGTCCCATAAATAGGATTAGATGGCCTCCCTGGAGCACCGTAACATTCCTGGAAGACACAAATCTATTTATTTTTTTTGGTGATGGCAGCACCTTGGCCCAAAATTGCTGCTCAGCACTTCGCTACAGAACCTTCACTTTAAAATCGGGCTGAGACAATGAGGGGAGTTATTGCAGCTGGCTTTGGATGAGCTGACCTTCCTCCTGGCAGGTCACAACTCATGAGTAGCATAAGGAACCAAGAAGGTGAGCAAAAACCAGTTAGCATAAATCAGCATGGCACGGGGGCTCCAGACATCCTTTTACCCTGTATGATTTTGGTAGTGATAAAGCTGAGTTATGCGATGCGTGCTGGCACTCGGGCTGCAGCTAAGATTAGTTCTGTCCTATCTGTTTTTAGAAGCATTTAAATTGCAGAATATTTCATGTAGCAGGCTGATAATTTGCCCTTGCCTAAATGCACATCATATGGCTAATTCAGTCCTTCCCCCCTCCATCCCTAGCGTGCGTGTGAGAAATTACACAGCTTTTCAGCCTGCTTTGTTAATGATTTAAA